TTAAAAAATAGATTGGCGGTTTTCACAAACTTTTTAAAAATATTTATGTTATTCAATACCAATTCATTTTTGAAAAGTTAGTTAACTGCAAATGAAAATAAATTGTCTTTAATTATGAATTTCTTAAATATTTGCAATATGGTATTATTGTAAGAAAGGTTTATACAGTAATGAATTGATAACTAAATAAATCTCACTGTACTAGTGCTTCAATAAATTATATTAGTTCCATGGAACGTTGTAAATTCACTGTTTATACTCACTAATTAAGTACGGAATTCAAGTAAAAGCAAAATGTGACTAAAATAAATTAAATGACAAATTTTGCATACAGAATTACCATGATGTAATAATGATTGGCTTGTGACGAGATATAATCATTTCAATTATAAAAAATATGAAGTGCATTTATAATTCATTAATAAAAAAGAAAGCCAATATATAAATTTTACGAGTGTGTAATATAAATTATGAACAATTGAGCATAAATTTGCACAAACTTCTCTTCAAATTTACATGAAGTTATAGGTAAGATTTAAACCATATATTTAAGTAATTTGCAAATAAATTATTACAAAAACATATTGCTTGCACTGCTTATATAAATTGTGTCACTTTCATAAAATAATTCGGATTATTCACAAGTTAGATCAACATGTAAAAGCAACATGCAAAAACTAATTAAATGAGAGATAGTGCAAAGTAATAATTGTCATGTGTCCAGATTATATAGAGACTGTAATTATTAGAATTACTAAATGTGTATTAATTTACATTTTTAACAAATTAAGGTTTATATATATATATATATATATATATATATATATATATAAATATATATAAAATAATTTCATCCTGTGTGGTTAAAATATTCATTTATTACAGACCTCTTGTGCAATTTCGAGTTCATGCCTGGTGTTTTCGTACAAGGTCTCTAATTCCTCACATTTATTTTGCAATGAACTTTTTTCTTCTAATAAAACAAGTCCGTATTGAGCAGATTGTACTTTTTCGCTACTTGCTTGGTCTAACTCGCGAGTCAACCTTTCGATTTCAACTCGCAAATTATTAACCAGTTGTTCGTTAACACTAGTCATTTTGACTTATTTTTATGCTATAATTTCCAATTTATATCTGTTACCATTTTTATTAATTGTAAGTCACAGATTTTTCAAGGCAGTCATCATGTAAGTCATTTCATACCATCAAATTCCATATAAATACTACACTTACACACTACAATACTCCACACACCTAACAGTGAACAGTGAAAAATCATGGGTGGTTGGGAAGTGCCATAGAAACGACAGCGAATGGATAGCAATAGCAATTGACAGTCGCGTAGTGAAGCCATAGATTAAACCATAGATAAAAGAAGAGTATATGGGTGCGCCGGGTGCGCCTCACCTAAAGGTGCGCCCACACCTAGCGAACGAGCACGAACGAACATGGATTTTGACATGCGCGTGGGTCACTTTTGTTAGAAATTTTTAATCTGCGCATATTATTCATCATGTTCGTTCGTTAGGTGTGGACGCACCTTAATGAACGAACACGAACGAACATAAAAGAACGCAAATGTGTACACAATAGGGAACGGGCAAGCTCTCCTCTAGCGGATTTTCAGTGCAACTTGTTGCCCAACAAATATGGCGAATGATCATCACATGACTCATTTGAGAGTTTCAATTGCTCTAGCAAACATTTGTTTTGGTCTAACACGTGCATTTTTAGGTTAGTAGAAATTTGTTGTAGTATCTTACATTTGCTCTTCATAGATCTTCTATTTATTTACAATAACAGAGGTAAGAATAATGAAATTCAAAATTTTAATTTTGTTTATAATTATTAATATGTATTATATTTACAGTCAGGATAAATATAATTTTAAGAACTGGTTGATGGTTATTTCGCGAAGAAATTAATGGAGGTAAAGTGTCCAATTTCTTGCAACAGTAAACCAATTGTAAGTGAGGATGGAATAGTAAATGTACCATACCTTCAACACATCAATGGCAATTTAAAGTTATGCACTGGACATTCTTATTACACTCAGTGCCAAATATCATTGTATGTGTGCGGTATGTATGAGTGTGATTTATTTATTTGGTCACCTGCAGGTATGTTCTATTTTATTATTACATATTGAATATATTGCTTGCAATTGAACAAATTATCATTTTAGGAAGCTGTTGTGTTACAGTATATAGGGATGAAGAGTTTTTGCAAAATCTGGTACCGAAACTAGAATTGTTTTATTTTGAGCAGTATTTGCCAATATTGGTAGAAAGGGCATCTTCAACAGATTGGTAATTATTTATGATTTTGTATTACCTAAATGTACCTAAATTCTCTTAATGTTTTTGCTTTTAGATTATTTTAGGTACATGCAAGAACTGTTCATCATTGTATTCAATTAATGGCATGCCATGGGCTCAGCGTTGTTCAAAAGTACGATTAGTTAATTTTTGCTATCTGACGTATTTTTGTTTACCATAAATAGTTTAAATAAATTTTATTTGAATTTTGTATTTTTTTTATGTTATTTTTAATTTTCGTGTTGTTTTGACTTTATATTATAATTTCTACAATATTAATATCAATTGTCAATTAAAAAAACAAAGAAAAAACACATTGCTTGCTTATTTTTTTACCTCCCTTCACAAAAAAAAAACCCTAGCATTAAGTGGTTGTTGATATGTTTTTCTAATTTCAGATTAAATTAGCGTTGTCCATGTTCAAAGTCACTCGGAAGTTGAGTGGTAATGTTCATGATTATATAACGGACATTAATTTGTTTAGAGGAGAAATTCTTTAAAAACTTTCACTAAAAGCATCCACTAAACTATTCCATAGGAAAACTAGAAGAGTTATGGTTCATAAGTATTTAATGAATGTATAGCATGTTTAAGCCTTTACAATTGTATTACTTATAAAATTAAAAATCCAATATAAACTTTCAAAGTCAAGGAACTCTAAGCCAAGAATTATGACACATATGTATTCAATGAATATAAAGCAACATTTTCAATTCACATATTCCCTAATTTATAATAAAATAAATCAAAAACCTTTTGAACTTTTTTTCTTGAATTTTTATTTATCTCCCTCCTCTTTGATAATGGGAGTTTGTAAATTTACTAATATGGCACATACGTACATAATATTATCAGCTAATAATCTAAGATCCTTCGGCATATAATGTAAAATTTTAAATACTCTCAACCTTTGTATGACCCGTTCAACATGTATGCGCACGCTAGCTATTGAATATGTCTCAATGATGTCTTCTGGCTGAAGTAATCCATTTTGGACAAATGGGGGATGCACAAGTACAGCCATATTTCTTAATTTATCTAACTCGGTTCGAATTGATGGAAATCCTAAATATAAAGCACAATTAGAAACTATATATGTCTTTCTTTACTCATGAATTTACCTTTGTCAGCTAATACAGCATCTCCAGGTTCTAATTTACTTAATATTCCCGAAGGAACAGTAATTTGGATATCTGTTATTCTGCCCAAACCCACATCACCTACAAAAGAAATAAAACCATCCGGAGTGCAACCAATCAGCACCTATGAATAAATAAGATTAAGTACTTACAAAACATTACTTATATAATTGCTACAATAAAAATTTATAATAAATTTTTAATAAAATTTATAATATTATGGCCAATAACAATAACAATAATAATTCAACTATGAGTACATACTTCACTGAATCTATCCAACGAAGCCACTTGTCTCTTCTTGAATTTTCTTTCGGAATTTTAAAAAATTTCACTTTCTTATCCACTTGCTTACTCCCCTTATTGTACGCGCATGATTTCACGGCACAGATACGCACCATTATTATTAGAAATAAAAAGAAATGAAATAAGAAGAAAGAAACCTCCTAATCTAACCTTCTTTGACTACCACGTGAGAGCAAATGAAACCCATCAAAATACCAAATGATGTCTGTCAAACCTGTCAAGCGCCATCTTGTTTGGGCAACGTGTTTGCACTTTTTCGCCACCCCGAGAAGTCACGGCGTGTGTAAATTTTTTGGGTTCCGTATCAAAATTTTTAATTACGGTACGAGAAGTTCCAACAATTTGCCTTAAGGCACGATGCCATGCACCCCGTTAGTTTCTAAATTATTCGTAGTTTCTATAAATCTTTGAAGTTATTAAAATAGAAAGTATTTTTTAGGCAATACAGATATTACAGTTGTTCAAAGAATGAGATTATATTGCCAGTAAAAAAGTAAAAAAATCGAACAGTCAATGAATGTATGTTAATTTTAATTACATAAAGTTCTTCAAACACAATTACAAGTTAGTGAAGTTGCAAAAACAATATTTGTTTAGGCGTTGTTTAACATAACAATTAACATAATCCACTGTGTGAACAAATATTATAGAATTTATAAATCAGCAATTACTTCATTTCTCTAATGAAAGTTCGTTTCTAAATGCTAATTACAATAACAAATCGATCATGTCATATTTGAAGTATGAATTTAATTACATTATTGTTTCTAAATATTATACATATTTTTAATGCCATTATAAATATATAATTTATAATTTATCATTATATAAATGCGTATACGTATTGTATAAGGTCTATGACTGTAGTACGTAAATTTGCCCCTAGTTGTAATTCTAGATGAGATTTGTATAAATACATAATATATAAAAAATAAACCTGATTCATTTGAATAAATGAAATGAGAACAAAATACATATACTCATATAAGATAAATATTTAACTAATTCACAAATCACAAATATGTTTTCACAAAAATATATAATAAAAAAATTAAACGTTTAATGTACGGTATTATATTTAGAGAATCAATTTTTTTAAAAAAAGAATTGTGAATTTAGGCACACTAGACCATCTGTTGAGTGCGCAAGACACTAAAACAGTGTAAAGCATATTTGTTCTGTGTTTACCAGTAGCCAGAGGACGGCACTATCGTATCTATTTATGTTGACATTTCAGATTGTCATTGATCGAACTCGCATCTACTTCACTTTTTGTCTACGGCACAAATAATTTGTTCGATCTTGTGTATCATTGTATGATTTTGTTATTTTCGTGAGTAGACTTTTTTTGGCAATTTGTACAAAATGGAATGTTTATTAGGAATACGTTTTAACAAATTCGTTATAATTGCCGCGGACATGACAAACGCGCACAGTATAGTGGTTATGAAAAATGGTAAGTGTTTAATTTTTGTTTAACGGCAATGTATGCTAAATCTTCAAATTTACATTTCAGAGGAAAATAAAATTTACGAAATGACTGATCACATAGTAATGGGAATCAATGGCGAAAGTGGAGATACCACTCAATTTGCAGAGTTTATTGCTAAGAATATTCAATTATACAAAATGCGAAATGGATATGAAGTCAGTACTGTTTCCGCAGCTAATTTCACTAGAAGGAATTTAGCTGATGCTCTGAGGAGTCGGGTAAATTCTCTAAATTAATACTAAAGAGTATTAATCATCTAATTGACTAATAATCTATTTAATACTAGTAATGTCATATTGATTGCGTGTTGATTACGTGTTTCACATTTCCTACATTTAACAAATTTATGTGCAATCAAAAAATTCAATTCACAATAATTTAATGAAACTGTAAATTTTAAAAAGTACAATTTTGATAGTAACTTCAGATATTTAAAGACAATATACTTGCAAGTAAAGATTTTGGACAAGACAATTTTGTTTTAAATAATTTAATATTGCAAAAAGGTAAATTAAGGTTTTTTGAAGATTGATATAGATGTTCTGAGTGAATGAACTTTATTGCCACTTCTATGAAATTAATTTATTGTGACTTGACAAATGAATTTATTTGCAGTTAAGCTTTCTTCAATTTCTGCATATTTACTGAATAGTTCAATTTTAGAATGCCTACCATGTAAATATGCTGATTGGAGGTTACGATAAAGAAGGAGGCCCACAACTTTATTTTATGGATTACTTGGGAGCGTGTGTAAATTTGCCTTATGCTTGTCATGGATATGGAGGTTTCTTCTCATTAAGCATAATGGATCGATATTATCAAAGCGGTAAGTTTTCTATTATTTAATTAAAATAAGGTTTGTTTAGCTATTATATAAACTTTTGATTTTGTACCATGTTTAACAGAATTTGAATTAAAACTTTTTTTTAAATCAATGTATTAACAATGTAAAAACTTGATATTTTGCTCACCTTGTATTAAGAATTTGTGCATTTGTGATTATTTTATTCCATTTTCCAGATATGTCAGAAGAGGAAGCTTATGCCATAATCAAAAAATGCATTACTGAAATTCACAAAAGACTCATCATCAATCTACCTAACTTTAAAGTCGTTGTAGTCAATGAAGATGGTGTAAAATACATGCCTAATATAACACCAAAGGATTTGGTGGATGCATGAAACTTAATTGTATTTACTTGTGATGGAGCATTTTGAATAATAAAATTACTTAAAATTAAGTCAAAGTTTTATTAAGAATTATGTAAAATGAATACTTTTTAAATACACTTATTTTGGAAATAGCACATATAAGATCTTTCACATAGGATATACTAATCACCCACTGATTATATATATATAGTTGATTTTTTTTTAAATAACAAATGGAGAACTATGCAAATTTTATAGTACAACAGTCTGGTCAAAGCATTCGTAATTAATTGGATCTACTTAAAATAGAAAAGTATTAACAACAAATGAATTTGTTAATTTGGTGTAAGTCTTTAAAACAGTTTCTTAATCATATTCAAATTTCAACATAAATGCATTATGATCAACTGCAAATTAGGTATTATCTCATCTTATAGTTAGAGATTATATCTGGAAGAATCAGGGTACTTCTGTTTTATACAAACTAATTTATTTTCTGCACTATGCACATCACAGTTCATTTTTCAATTTTGTGTTTATTGTTAAATTCAACTGACAAAAACGATACTAATAATTCTATTAGTGTTTTGCAATTTATCCATAGTAATAGTAATAATAAATAAAACGTAAAAAAAAATCTATTTACAATTATATTTTTCTGCGTGATACTGTATCTTGTCGTCTTTCTATCTTGAATTAGTAAATAAAAAAATGGCTTGCAAAAGTAATTAAATCAATTTTATTTATTGAGATTTTTTCTTTTTCTCTTGTTTTTCATTTTTTTCATCTGATGGATGGTCTTCATAACTAGAATAAGATAATGTCACAGGTTTTAGTATTGCTATGTTGATTGTTATTAAAAATAATACCAGTAGCAAAATTTTGTATATCATTAGCTCATTCAGTTAAGTTTGAGTGTACATTCTGTTCATAATATATACCAAAGAACAATAACTTACTAGAATTGGCAGAGCTAATGATGTACCAATCTTACCACCAGAAAATAAGTAGCATACTCACTTAAACAATGCTTTAATATCCCCTTTCACCAATGCTAATGCCAATGGAGTCCCCATACATGCTGGCACCAAGTATAACAATGCAGGTTGCGCATGTTTGAAAACATGCATAACAAAAATAGTGGCTAACAAACCAAAGAAGTAGGCGGCGAATGTTGCATAAAAGTATGTATTTGTGTCTCGCTTCAAACTTTTATCAAATCGAAGCAAAAGGGCTATAAAAATTCCTGGAACTACAATATCACCTAACCCTAGCATTGCAAAATTAGATGCATTTAGTCCATTGCTTAATAAATCTTGTGGAAATACTAACTTTATTGGAGCTTCAAATGACTTTGCCACAGTAACCATAACATTGGTACCAAACACCCAGAATATGTCATAGAAAAACAAACCTCCTAGTAAAATACAACCCGTGACTACATTATTTAAGTGCAATAATTCCACTCCATTAATTGCAAAGGCAATTCCAAATAAATTATTGGCTATCCAATGTTTTTTCAATAAATACCAGCCGCCAATGACTGATGATACCAACAAACACACAATATCATGTGAAGAAAATTTGTAATTGATAAAGTCTTCTTTCTGTGCACCTTCTCCACGAGAACAATGAATGTGAAAAGGAATTTTTGGAATTGCCGCAGGAACTAATGAACCTATAACAGGGCTCATGAGATGACTTAAGGCCAGTATGCCCAGGAAGAAGAAATATCCGGTTAAGAGTTGATTTATGTATTCTTTGGAGAATAATTGGAAGAATATGTAAAGACCCAACAAAGCTAATGAGGCTATCACAGGAAACATCATAGCCTCTTTTGTTGTCATTGCTTCAGGTTTTTCTCCCGTTTCTTGTGAATTTCTCTGAAAAAAAAAAATTATTATACTAATTGTTAAAACCCCATACAAGACTAAAAATATATATAAATCTAAAAATAAACAAATGTGATATCTGATTGAAATAAATGTTTAACTTCACGTAGAGTAAGTTATAATAATAGCAAAACAAGAAAATGAATTTTTATGCATATTTTTGTTTTTTAAGGTCTTCTGAACATTTTAGCATAACTAAAAAAATAAATGGATGTATGTATGTGTGTGCATATTCTGATACAATTTTTCGTCGACGATTTTGAGAGCACAGATCAACCAATTTGAATGATTCAAAAAACATTTGATTCCTATTAATGGAGAGAGGTGCTGATTAGGTTTTGGTAAAGACAGGGCCAGCCGTTTCTAAGATACGGCGCAAATAGTGTAGAAAAATGGCAATTCAGTTTATGTTAGAACGGAGCAATTCAAAAAGCATTTCACTTGTACTGACAAAATGAAGAATTGTTAAATTTTTGAAAATCTAAACAAAATGCCAGTTGGCGGTCAAAAATGATCATTAAATATATGCACATCCAGTTATCAGATATTTTATAGCAATTTCAATAAAAATTACAATGTATGTATTTATAAGTATATTAACATTTCTATGGGTTCACTACCAGGATTTATGATGCTTAACCGTAATTCAGCAAAAATTTTTCAAAAAATTAAAAATTTTCAAATTGAAAAAAATCATATTGTAATAAAAAATATATAAATATTCAAGATATAAATACAAAATATTAAAATTTGAAAAAAAAACAGTTTTGTAATAGATTATAAAAAATCGATTTTTTTTTTAAATTTCAAAATTCTCAAAAAAGTGGATTTTTTTTACAATTTCGATTTTTCTTAAACTTTAAAAAATATTATTTTCCAAAAAAAAATTACCAAAAAATCTGTTTTTTCCAAAATTTTCAAAAAAAATGAATACTTTTAAAAAAATTGAAATGATTTTATAGCAAGTTACGATGCTATTACGACTATTCATGTATTGTAATTCAATAGAAATACAAGAAATTTAATTACTGGGTACTTAAATAAATAAAACAACGGTTATTTTATATATATAGGCCATATGCATCACAACTAAAAACCAAACAATTATTTAGCAAAAATATATTTATTTATATATTTTAATCGTTTAAAAAAAAAAATTAAGTACTTGCATTATACATTTTGTTTCATGATCTACAAAAGTAAATAAATAATCTATAATATCAATTATATTTTTCATCATGATTCAAATTTTATTTGTTCTTTTTTATTAATCTAGGGATGTGCTCAGTACATTGTATGTATGTATGTATGTATATATATATATATATATATATATATATATATATATATATATATATATTCAGTTTTTAGACGTTAGTCAATTTGTACACACTAGAATGTAAGCAAAAATTGTCTAAAAAATTAATTAGTTTAAATGTTCCAATTATTAATAGCCTGGTTATCACAGTGTAATAGTGTAGTGTATTTTTGTATAATTAATTCTTTTTCCACTGAATGACGGTCTCGATGAAGACCGAAACGTATGGATAAATAAAGTATTTAAAAACTACTTTAGTTTTTTTTTTCTTTACTTGGTGTTACTGCCCGATTCTAAATAACTCATCAAAAAATATATATATATATATATGTTTAATTTGAGTTTAATATTCGGGCGTAACATCAATAAAAATATAATTTTACATATACATATTTTTATTGATGTTACGCCCGAATATTAAACTCAAATTAAACATATATATCAACATCAAATTCAAGACTATTCAAAAATATATATATATATATATATATATTCTTATTGATGCCCGCAAAGATTTTAAATGCAGTCATATAAAACTTATAAATTTTCAGTCAACAAATTGGATAATATGTGTTGATCAGATAAGGGTATGAAAAAGCCACCCCGTATATGTAAATTCAGCACTAAAGTTCTATTTCAATGTTTCATATAAAAATATTGTACTAAAAAATTGCCATGTGGTTTAATCCCGTTGTGTATTAAAAAATATTATACCTTTTGCTCAGTATGGTGTTTGACCGATCTAAAAGCCCCAAAAAATATTGGCAATAGGGCCATAACAACCAGACTACCATATGCGATTGCCATTCCCTCCGGCGTGGAAGTTTTTGTCGTGGTTTGATTCACATTTTTGATTATGTTTTCACTTAAGTTCGCAATATCTTCGACTTCTGCCATCGTCACCTATTTAAAAATCAACCGGGACTACAAGCGTGAACTTTTTGTAAACGTCATTGAAATATATTGAAGCAGAGATTGTGTCAAATTCAAATTGTAGACATTACTGACACTGACATTGACATCATGACAACCAAACAAGAATCGGCTGACAAGTTTCTGATCAAAACATCAGTAGTAACTGTCAAATGATTTACCCTATCTTTACCTATTTTTGCATATTTCGAAAATATTAATCTGCTAAAGGGCAAGACGCATAAATGCGTTGGAGTATACAAAATCGCGTACGGGTAGGAGTGTAGGACATATGAACTCTAGTGGTGTATGGCATCGTTTGCCTTAAGGCAAATTATTAACCCTCCGTCGTGCGCAGTTCCGTTACGCACACGTTCGGGCGCAGTGTATCTGACAGCAACGGTTTTTAAGTATAACCTCAGGAGGCTCCTTATTTTATAAACATGTTAATTTCTTGTTTAATTATATTTCAGAATGTATACTTTTTGAATAAATAGAAAAAAAAAGAATTCAATAATATTTTCTTATAAAATGTAGAAAAATATAAACCTGTGTATATATGCACAAATTATTTACACTCACTTTTCTTTATTGAAATACACAGTTTCTAACTTTTTTTTCATTTGTCACTTTATAAAAAATAAGTAATATAATAATGATAGTTTAATGTGTATAGTTAAATATTATCATTTATTGAAGCATTTCAACAAGCACTGCATAGAAAGATCGCATGTTGGAAACACAGTGCTTTTCGACATTTAGCACAACAAAATCTTGAAAGCCTTCTAATATTAGCTTCTAATGTACACGGTTCACATCGCCGTTTTTTTGGTGGCTCTTCTTGTTTTTGTGAGCCATTTTCCTGTGAATTTGTTCTGAATCTTTTGAGTCCTGCCTGCAAAGTGAACAGTATCCTACTCGTGATTTCACTTCTTCTTGTTAGCTGTCCAAGAACAAGTTCATGCGATAATTGTCTCAAAAATATCTTCTTCGGAGATCTTTCTTACCATTCCCATGACTCCAACATTCTATAGGCGTTGCAGCATTTTTTGCATTTCCTATAACACGTGGTAAATGTCTTAATAAGTTCTGGGATTTTGTTCGAGTCCTATTAGAGGGAGGTTTGCTACACAATTTTGTAGATTTATCTCTACTCATAAAATATTTAGCATTATTGTTTAAATTTATTTCTTCCTCACTCTCATCCTGTTCGTCCTCTTGTTTTGTCTCAGAATCGAATTCGCGACTCTCTAGATGGTCTTCGTCACTTCCACTTTCATCACCTAAATCGTCAAGAAGATTATTTTCATAAGCATCATCATTCAGCATTCTTAGAATCTCTTCTCCATAAGCTGGCTTTTCTAAATTATATATTTTTTTACCACTCGCCATATTTACTAGCCTATAAAATGTATGGACTCAAGTTAGTAACACATTCGGGCGCAGTGAATCTCGTGGATACTTTCAAAAAATTGTAATTAAATGAAAAGTATTGAGATATATATTCAAAAATACGTAAAAAAATACAGAAAAAGAATACTTACATTCACAAAAAATTGCAATATTCGTACGTTTCAAAATTTTGCACGTTCGGGCGCAGTGTATCTCTAGGATCAAAATACCGATTGCCACTATATGTGAAGGTCAAACACAAAATGATAAAGACGCATAAATAAAACATATAAAATTAGGAGGCTATTGAAAAGTGGAGGTTTCTATAACATTCAACCAAGGCGCAGCATGAAAAATTATTGGCTCTGTATCTGTCAGATCGGCTGCGCCCGACGAAGGGTTAAATGTTTTCAAATAGATTATTATAAATAAATATCGGCGAGAAGTTATTCCACAATAACTTCAGCAGGAGAATTAAGATGTTTGACAGTTTGGTAGTCGGAGTGTTGGCTTACGGCGCAGAGATTTGGGGTTGGAGGGAGTTCGCAGAACTCGAAAGAGTACAGAAAAAATACCTGAAATGGATACTTGGTCTGGAGTCCTGTACTCCAGATTATGTACTCTATGAAGAAGTGAAACGAGACAAATTACATCTGAGATTAGCTAAGAGAGCGATTAATTATGAAGAGAAACAGTTAAAGACAGGAGTAAATGCCATAGTGAAGGAGTGTATTAGCGAAAGAAGAAGAGGTAAAGGGGATAAAGAGAAGTTGGATGAAAGGATAAGATATATAAACAAATGTGGATTTGGCCAGGAGGGCATAGTTCAGCTGAGTGAAACCGGAGCGAATGTTGGAGAGGTACTGCGGGAGAGAGGAAGCGAGGTACAAAGTCAAGAGAACTGGAACAAACTGGAAAGATCTAGATACAATAGAAAGTATAGAGAAATAATGACAAGTGGACTTCCGCAGTATCTAAGAGGCTGGAGCAATGGCTGCGATCAGAAGGTAATTGTGCGGTATAGATGTGGCACCATGGAGAAAAACAACAAACACTGGCTGAACCCTGAAGAACGAAGGTGTGAGTTGTGCGGGAAGGAGGAGGACACGGTTGAGCATTGGAAGGAAAGATGCACGATGTTAGAGAGAACAAACATTTCTATAGAAGACGTTCTCTGTGGCAAAAATGATAAGGAAAGTCTGGGCTGGTTGAAAACAATCAACCACATGAAGAAAGCAAAGGAAAAAGAGTTACTTGGGCAACCAGTCCAGAACGTTATAGTTATTAGAAACCACTGATTAGACTTTTCTGTTTATTTTTATTTTTTGTATATAAAGTAGGTTTAAGGTATTATTGGTATAATGATGTATTTCTAGGCCATTAGGCTGAAATAAAATAAATATAATATATATAAATAAATATTGTAACACTGTCTATTATTTATAAGAATTATATAAACTGAACTACAAAGTTGAAATTATTTGTTTCAAGTATATAAGAACTTTAGTCAGAATTAAAATTAAAACTTGAATTATTTTCGATATACGAAAAAAAAATTTTTTTCACAAAAAAAAATTTGAAACATTTTTTTTTCCAAAACCAATTACTTTGTTAAAACGAGCAGAAAGTTCTTTGATTCATTCAAATCGGACGCTTCGTTCTCTCAAAAACTGCCATTTTTTGCACATTTAGCTCTGTATATTCGAAATGGCTGGACCTGCCTTTGCCAAAAATTAATCAGCTCTTCTTCCAATCTTACAAATTGATTTTTTTTAGATCATTCATATCGGATAATCCCTTCTCCTAAAAACTCGATTTGTATCTTCTGTACTCTTTTCTTTGTTTCTCCATAACGGCTAGACCTGCCCCTAGACAATATTAGAATATGATGTATTCATAACGTTGGATCTGCCTTTGCTAATCTAATCAGCACATCTCCTCCTAGACAATATAATAATAAATGCAGTAAAATAAAAAATGCATCTCCCTATCAATAGGAAACGAATGATTTTTAAACCATTCAAATCGGTGGATCCGTGCCCGAAAATGTGGACGAAAAAATGCGGACATACAAAACACACACACACATTCATTTTTTCTGAGGTATGCCAAAATTTTTACAAACCTTCAAAATGTGAAGATATGCAAAAATTTTCATTTTCGATTTTCGGCCCAATACTAACTACCCTACAGGAAGTTAAAAGATCAAATGTTGATAAATTCTTATTTTTCTGTTCGTTGGAGCTTTATATTTTTTTTATAAAGTTTTAATGAAGTACTGCTCCCAAATACATAGCTTAGCCTTTTGACAATGTGAATAAAACAACTTCTGAGCTATAGGATATATATTCTACTGCATAGTGCATTGAGAAATTAAATTACTCATATTAATTTATATTGACTAATCATTTTACAATTTAGCAAGGGACTAGTTGTTGAAGATTCTGTAAAAAAAAAGTATAAGCTTCTATAAGAAAAACAGAACAATTAAAGATTTTCGAGCTATACAAATTAGAGCATTGGTTTAAACAGTTCTCTATATATATTAGGGAAGAAATAAGTTGTTTTAGAATTTAAAATTTTGCACATGATGATTATTAGTCAATAAGAGTCAAGATTGACACCGAACAATGTAATAAACTAATACTATAATATTCACAAAATTTTATTGAATATTCGTGGTAATAAAATGATATGATAGTATTGAAGTTAAGCTGATATGTGTAATAAGCCGATTATATGTGATTGTACATAATCAATCAAAATATATTTTTGAATAACACATTTTAAAAAATTCGCTCTAAATAATTAAAAAAAAAAAAAAAAAGCCTTAAGGGTGACCAAACCTTACCTCTTAGAAGCATGAGTAATACTTGTAATAATTATATGGATTTTTTTCAAACAAAGAACTTTTTAATGTAGTATAGCAAAATCTATGTTAATATTACATACTAACAACACAGTAAATTTAATAATTGATACAAATATTTTGCATAGTTCATGTATAATTTTTATTACACTTCATAACGTTTTTTGAACATTATTCATTTTAACTCATTTTAATTTTCTGCATTTATTTAATAATAAAATTCAAAATTTTTAATATTTTCATCAAGTGTTATTCTTCTATGAAATATTATTGTTAAACATAGAACAAGCACATACAATTAATAACATAAGTGTAACAATTTAGCAATTAATATGAAATTATTTGCCTATATATTTTTTATCTGTAAAATACTCCTCAGTTCACTTGTTGGTCTATAGTGACAGCAACATTATCTTACATGAAAAACTTAAGAAACATAAAGAATTACCTTACACAGAATCATCAAAGAATCTATCTAGGGCTATAGCAACTTGAGCAGGTGTAAATTTAACATACTTCTCAACATTTTTTGTAAATTTCACATTAGCATATCTGGAATAAAATTTATATATCTGCAAATGATTAATTCATAATACACTTTTCATAAATTTACTTACAAGTCATAAAACGTATTATATTTAGGAAGTAGGAGTTCTTTGTTATCTCTTTTTATGCCTTCGCGAAGCTCTAGATCTGGTATTGAAATTCCCCTTTGAACCCTGGACATATCTTCAAACTCTTTATTAAATGCCTAGGAGTTCAAAATCAAAACAAAAACTTAACATCAAATACTTCTTATATTAATATAATAAAACAAAGTTAATAAGAATCATTCCTGAATGTTTAATTAAATTGATCAAAAACTCACAGAAAACCGTTCTTTTAAGACAGCTCTATCTTTGTCTCTTAATTTTCCTGCAAATAAGGTTTCATCCAATGTTATTATCGACGAAAGTAGCTTGTTCCAACTAAAAACATTGAAAGAAATTGTTGAATATAATGCGCAAAAAATGAGAAATATTTCCTATTGCTTGCCTTGACAAATATTTCTTTTTGTGTTCTTGGATCATATCATAGTAATTATGCTCGCAAGATGGTTCAGCTATTCTTAAAAACTCTATCAATCCTGATCTCTGAAGTGACTTGAGCATATAATGATTATTGTTGACTCGGAATATAAATTTGGTGCAACTGTCTGTATACACTTCACTTTTACTTAACAATGTCAAATTCAGCTGTACAAGTACCTTCTCTTTAAAGAAAGATTGAGTAAGTTGAAGAAATAAGCATTATAAACATTATAAGAATATCTTACTTATATAAACCCCAAGCAAAGCTTTGTTCTTATCGTATGTTATATTTTGTTTATTATGGACGATAACTGATAAAGCGTTGTTGTAACTTGCATCCTTTTCCAAAACGCCACCTTTAATCAAATAATTGTATACAGTAAACTGAATATCTTAATCTTAAAGAACATTAAAAAAAAAATCAGCTCAATTAATGTTTGATTAATAAAAAAAACTAATAGAAGGACTTAGAACTCAATCACAACATGAACCACAATGTTTTCTATTATCAAAAGCCTTATTTCAAATAATTCTATTCACAGGATTTGGTAGAAAATAAAAGTACTCTTTAAAAATGTATAATGGATTATAATAATAAAATTTACCTATGATATCTACATAGTCCATGAGTTGTTCTAAAAATACTAAAACATTATTTGTTAATTCATGCACTGTAGCATCTTTAGGTAATTGACTGCTAGTTTCTGATTTTACACTTTCAATAAAATCTTCTAAGGCCTTTGATATCTACAATTATAATAAATACATGTCATTATAAATTAATAGATCAATTTTATATAATTCTGAAATATTATTATTATTAAATTCCCGAAGGAGAATTTTATGTTTTCGCCAAAAAATCGAAAAGTTTTGTGCGACGATCGGACAAGTCATTTCTTTGTAATTAGCAGGAAAGTGTAAAATGTTTCGTCCATTTTTCTAAATGGATTTCAAAAACTGTTCGAAAGACATTGGTTGGAAATAGCGCTGATTAGTTTTTGGCGAAGATCGGCCGGGGCGCTTCTTCGTAATTATTTGTTGATTATTTTTTTTAAGATGCTGATGAAACTTTGTATGATGCTAGATTTCGTAGTCTGAAATAACATACTAAAGTATTATAGGCCTACAAAGAGTGGTTGAATTATAAAAAATCATCGAAATTTGGATTTGCGCCACGCGTTTAGACGATTCTAATCAGAATCAAAGCCGAGCAAATAAGCACATTCTGTATTTTATGAATATCTTCTACTAATTAGAGTTGATGTCCACACTTCAATAAAATGCATTTTCATACACATAATTAAATGAAATGTATTATACAAATTAATTTAATTTATATAATTACAGATATAAATAAGTATGTTTATCAATTGGAAATCACATTAATTAAATTTTAGTGAAAGCTAAGATTTTATTTTTGAAATAAACTGTAATAGCTGAAATAGCTAAATCTCAATTCTTATTGATTAGGTTGATTACGTAATATGGATCATGCAAAATGCCTTTTACAACTAGTTTACATTACTGCTTACCGTGTCATGCATCATTGTAAATATTGACATAAGTTTATCAGCAACATGTGACTCGCAATTTTCAACAGTTTTCTGTAAATCAGGTTGCATAGCTAACAAATGTCGTAACATTGGAAATACCATCAAAACTGCACCAAAGTCTTGTTGACCAATACTTTTTCTTGCTCTCGATGTAATATTCTGATAATATTAAATTTAAATAAAAAAAAAGTTATTAAAGTCTAATTTGATAATGTATCAATTTTAATAATAACTATAATGTGAATGGAATTTCTTGAACTTTACTATAATTATCACCATTTTTTAGTTTGTAATATACTTCATTTTTTAATATATACATCAATTGATTAGTATTTATAAATTTAAAAATAAACAAACTTGTACATTACAAATTAAAAAATAAATTAGTCCAAATTTGATGACATTAAAGATAATAATTTCTAATAATCTTAAATCGTTTACCTCTCCATCAGAAACTATAACTTCTACTGCCTTTTTAGCAATCATTTGAAACACATTGCTCTGCCACGGCGCAGGTATAATTTGCAAAAGTAAACAGTGTTCAGCTTGGAGAAGTTTATGCAAAGCAGCTACTTCGACTAAATATCTTTCCAGTTCCATATCACTTTCATGAGCATCATCTTCACCAAAACTAGATGCTGAAATTATTTTAAAACTTGTTACTAATAAAAAAGAAATATAATAATGATTTCGAAAAAAGTTTACAATATGATATGATAAAAACAAATTATATAAAAACATTATTATTTTAAAATTGTTATAAAATATATATTTGTATCATAATTACCTTTTTTTAAACCAATAGTAAAACCAGTAGACATTTCAAGTGTTTGTGATGCTTTCATAAGCATTCTGTTAGCTTTTTTCTCAAATCTGTTAAAAATATAATGAAAAAGAATATATTTAATTAATGCATTGGATGCAAATTGCATTTCACAACTTACATCTGCTGTATCCTAGCTCTGCGACTGGATCCTTCAGATTTACTATATTTATTTCTCTGAAAATTTAGAAAAATTGCATCCATAGAATAATTCTTCATTTATTAAAAATTCAATTTCAATAATTAATTCATGAATAAAACACAGAAATATAAATAATTATTACCAAAAGTGGAGATTGATTCCAACTTGATGTTTTATGATTATCCTTAAGCAATTGCAAAGATTTTAAAAATACTGCACTTCGTTCTTTGATATAAATTTGAAGAAAATGAAGTATTGAATGTCCTGCTAGCCATTGAGCTATCAAATTTAAATCTTGACATGATGTTTCAGGTATAAGAGTTAGAAATGATGGAAGACATTTCAGATCTGCAAAATGTTAATTTGAGTTTCAATTTTTAAATTTTTAATTTTGTAATATATTTTAATTCTATAAATATACCTTCCTCAAGACTTATGAGATCCAGAATTTCCACTGGTTTTACATGTCTATTATGCCTAACCAGAATATCGTGAAAGTATTTACTAAGCAAATCACAGCCAATAGGAAATAAACTGGTCTGAAAACAAATTATTAATTTAATATTATGTTATATATAATTGAAGCTATTGCTATTGACTTATATTCAATAATACAAGATTATTTACTTATAAATTAAAAACAAACAATATATTTTGAAATAAAAAATAATTTAATAAAAGTATTTGGCTCAGTTTGAGTCAATTTTTAAATTTGATATTTGATTTCAATACTGATTTCAATACTGTTATATAAGAATATTATCTTGTTTAGCAATAAATTTAATCAACATATAAATTCCAAATTTAATAATGTAAATGTCAAATTACTACATTCTGCAGCTCAACACTCTGAGGATTATTATGTTGAAAATATTCCTTAGCTTCTGACAATTTATTCAAAGCCCTTAAATATTCTTGAAGACCTGTTTTGTCAGGACCCAAATTTATCAAATCGCAAACTGTTTGAGGAGCAGAATAGTAACTCATTACGTGTTGCAGACATTGCAGGCTGGCATCAATATCTAAAATAATATTTGTAAGCTGATATAAATTTATTATTTAAATAAATTGTTATATAAAATTAATATATAATACTAGCAATCATAATATGAAATTAGATATTCACAGAATAATATTTATATACTGACTTTGCTGCCTTTGTTGTAAGTATCCAGTTTCAGTGTACACGGGCAAAATTGTATGCTCTAATTTAGCTAATCTTTGTTCAAATGATTCTAAAATGTCAACTATAGAACTTGTTAGAACCTTAGAACGCTGAACACGTTCTCTCAAGAGTGATAGATTAGCCTTTTCCTGCATATATATACAATCTTATTATAATATTGATTCCTGAAAAATCTATATCTAATACAAATCAAACAAATGAAACGGGCACAAAAATTGAAATTCTGATTTGAAAAACGTTTATATTTTTAAAATAGCAAATAAACGAATAAAAGAATGAAATGATTGGATATTACAAATAAAAAAAAGTATAAAGTATGTCCATGAAAGTGACAAATTTGTTTCAAAGTTTGACAACAATTTAATTATTTAGCGAATAATAACTTCACCTTTTCTAACTTCCTTTCTATGAGCATGATCGATGTGTATTAATATTAATAGCACATAAACATACAAATACTGCTGAATTATTATGATATACAATTAATTAAAATATAATAAGATTTTTAACATCTACATTCTATAGTTTGCAATTGACAGCTGTCAAAATATAAACACGTATTTATCACAAATAATTTGACAGTCCGAACAAGAGAGATTAAAGCACCAACACTCAAAAAATGGCTTATTATTAGAAGCAGGTGTACTAACAGCAAAAAATTATAAGCCTAACTTTTAAAACAGCTTCAGCAACTGTCAAACCGGTCAAACCCATATTTAAACTAGTGGCATCGTGCCGTGAGGCATCCGTGAGGCAAATTGCTGGAACTTCCCGTACCGCAACGAAATGTTCGGGGAATATTTAATATTTTCGAATAGATTATTATAAACTGAATTGCTAAGTTAAAATTATAAGTGTGCCTTAGAACTTTATAGCAAGAATTAAAATTAAAATATGAATTATTTTCGATATACAAAAAAAATATTTGAAAAAAAATGAATAAGTAAAATAAAGTATATAATTGTATACTTTAAATAAATAATTTTAACTTTGCAATTCAGTTTATATAATTCTTATAAATATTAGACAATGTTACATAATGAATATAATAATCTATTTTAAAACATTCAATATTCTTCGAATATTTCGTTAAGGTACAGGAAGTTCCAGCAATTTACCTTAAGGCACGATGCCATGCACCGCTAGTTTATCTATGATACTCGTATATATGAACACAAAAAGACTAAAAATTATCGCTTCAGATAAAAATTTAAAGACAATATATAAATAAGAGGCGAGAGGTGTTCGAGCTAGCAAAAATCGAAACAATTCATAAGCGAAACAGTTTTGTTCGAAGTAAAAACATAAGATTTGTATGTAGCGAGAGGCTCTCGGGCCAGCGCAAAACGGAACGCTTTCGGTGCGTGAGAGTCTCATTTGAAATTCAGTGGTTAAGCAGCTTATTTGGGTATGTAACATTAATGGACATAAATGTTCAGATTGCATTATTATAATAAAAATAGCTTTATTTTGGAAATTATTATAACTAATGTTGTGTTATAATTTTCCAGTATAATAAAAAGAAATTTTTATTTATGTACACACACATGCTTTTGCCAAAATTGGTATTATTCGATTCAGAATGACTTGAAATGCCGAGAAAACATAAAATTCGCAAATCTGAATTTTTCGCGAAAATAATAAGCTTTCTTTTCTTACTGTCTTTAGATTATTAATAATGACCGATGCATAGATAAAAGAAGAGTACCGATGGTACCAAGGACCGATGATTCATAAGAAAACTTTACTACAATAAAAGTATAATAAAGTACTTAAATAAAATAACTGATTTGTATGAGCTTGATTATAATATATTAACTACAAATATAATTATCATAAGACATAACAATACAATAGTTTTGATTATTGTTGCTTCGGGTATTTGAAAAATAATGTTACTGAAATACAGACATTCTGTTCATATTCATATATGAGATGCACCAATTGTAAGGAAAATTTCTATTAAAGTTTACACTTATGTTCATGCTTACAAATATACCTATGGACAATATCTTTGTAATAAATTTACACCATAACAAATTTTGTTGTATTCTTTTTAAGTATATATCGCACACCTAGATCAAAATTGTATTAACTCAAAGAAGCAACTTATACATGATACCAAAATATGATGTCATGATTTAGTCTTTTCGAAAGTTATTTATTTATAAATCTATATGATTTAAGAAAGTAGTCTTGAATATGAGACTTGCTTTTCTAAACTGAACTTTTGTCTAGTTTTAAAGTATCTGTAATACGAGTATGCACGATTGAGTAAATGAAAAACTTTTTGAGTTAATACAGAATAAGAGATTTATGAGCTTATTCAAACAAGTTATGATAGCTTATATAAGTAAGATTTTTAAATACTATTTACAAATATTACACTTAGTAAAGATGAAGATGTAGCAGAGAGTCTGAATATTTTTTAAAGTAGTAACAATGATATTTTTTGTTTGACATTACCATTCAAGCCAACATCAATTTTATGGACATAACCAATTCTACAAACAACTAAGATTAATCCTCCATTTATTTACTTGGTGATTATTAAATACATTTATTAATTAGTATTAATGCCTATATCTTGATTAAATTTCAAAAAGGCACTTTGTTCAATTATTTAGCAGAAATTAAACTACAGAAGATACTTGCATTGCTAAAATTTGGCAGATATTTTGTGTCAATGTTATAAATTTCAGCAGTTGTGTACTGAATGTATATATATATATATATATATATATATATATATATATATATATATATACATACATATATATATAGTTAGTTAGAAAATTATATGTATTTTGAATAAATATATACAACTATTTGTAAAACCAATCTGTTTTGCACATAAGAATATATGCATGCAGAACACAAAAAACATAATCAATATACAAATGACCTTAGAGAAATTTGAGTTTTTGTTAATTGATTATTTTATTATGAAAACTTTTACTTTTCGCTATGATACTTAAATATGTACAAATGTATGGAGATACCATTTTCCACACATAGTTGAAAAGATATAACAACAGATTATTTATTGTATCCTAATGCGTATTGTATTAATAACTTTAATTTCGTACCCTAATATCCGTGGCAGAATAAAACTCTCAATAAACGTGAAAATATGCTAACGAGTTAACAGGGTAATGGTAATGAATCTGTGGATTAAGATTTTTCTAAGTTAATCACTTAATATATGCAATTGATTGTCAACTTAATTTAGTTTTACATATTCACTGTAGGGGATCGATTACGTCTCACCGTTACCTTTTATATATTATTATATTTTCACACAATATATAATATTTAATTGTATTGAATCCAGTATCATGAAATACGAAATTGAATTGGTAAATACATAAGCTTAGGACCATTCACTTATCATTATTTCGAAGATATTGTATAGTTTTTTAAGCACAATAAATTCCGTTCTGATAATTTCATGTACAATAGTTCTGTAAAAACCGAAAAAAAAATAATATCTTAGGTACATGTTTTATCAATTAATATTTAAGTACTATTGCATTTTAAACAGATAATTCTTACAACTAATATAATTAATGTTTAATAATTTATGTTAAGAAAACTTAATACAAAATATACATTTTATTTTTATAAATTAACAATTAATTTATTCCTCTATCTTATTAAATAATAATCTAGAATAAAATTATAGTTTTTAAATGCATTTTGAATAAAATAAAGTATTTTAATACATTTACATCAAAGCTCTAGAATTATCCCTATGAATTTTCTGTAAATATTTATAAGAATGGGCTTTTTTTTACAAATATAACACCTTTCTAAACCTCGAATATTTGATATAGTTAAAACTAGTTTACGAGTTCAATATTGAGAAATAAATTTGTATTATCACATTTTCGAAAATAAGTATACAAACAAAAGTTATCAAATCCTTAATCTTTTTATCTCTTTTTTTACATTCTTTTCAAGAATGGAAAAATAAGAATAACAAGAATACATAACTTTTTAGTCGATATAGCCAAATCTTGGAGGTAATTTTTTGCCTGTTTTTTTTTTTTTTTAAATAAAAATCCTTTATATGAATATATATTTGTGGATAGAAGGCACAGATACTCGTTTAGCCTTTAATTGGGTATTTTGCAACCCAATTGGAACTTCATTATGATAAAACGGGATTAAAGTTTATATCTTTGAACCACATGTATAAATATCCATATATAGTTTCACATGTTTAAAAATGCATTTCACAAAATATTTGATTTCATTTTATTTAAATTATTTTAAATAACTAATTTAAAAATATATCTGCAAGAATTATGAATTAAATGTAAATTCATGCTTTGCTTAACTAAAACCTAAATGAGTGTTTCAATAGATAATAGATCAGTTTTGTTCAGTGTCGAACAAAAATCTTAAGAATATGTATATATATATATATATATATATATATACATGTATATATATATATATATGTACATATCCCACATGCACACTTCCTATGCAATAGCATTTTCCTTTGGTATAAATTCTATTCCAAATGACCTGCGACATGACTAGCACTTTTTAAAGTTAATGTTAATATGTTTATTGTATGAATGTCTAACTTACACAATTTTCAATTCTTGACATAAATAAAAAATAATATAGTACAAAGCTTTAAACGCAAGTGCAATTTTATTTGACTTGTTTAATTACCTAATTAACTTAGAAAGATATTAAAAAAACGTATAAAGCATAACATCACAAATCCATACATAATTATAATCATTAATCTTATGTAGGATTTCAATATGAATTATTATTTATTAATGGTGTTAATATTTTTAGTGTGTATAATAAGTTTATTTTGCGTCAGAAATACTAGAAAATTTAGAATTTTCAGTTTCCTAATGTATCTATAATTATATATGTGTTAAGAATATTGAATTCTGATGTAAAAATATATAAATAAAATTTTGCAGGGCATAACGTCAAGTTAAAAAAAAGAAAGTAACAAATTCAAAGTATCTTTGTTTTTCCAGACATTTCAACATAAAATTCTGTCATCATTAATGGGTATATCTTTTTTGTTGTAAATAAATATAGCATGAATAATAGTATGGAAATAAAACTAGATATAAGTGGCATTTTGCTTGAAGCAAGCTGCATACATTTTCTGATATAATCAATGTAATAATTGTGCAAATAAATCAACATATAATTTAATGAGTGGTTTATAAATATACCTAATTGCTGTATATATGGTTTAAATATTACGCATCATTGAAAAACAATAAACAAACCTATGCCTAATACACACACCAAGCTTTCTCTAAAAACGCGGCCGATTATTACAAACATAAATTAAATTTATAAATAAACAACTTGTTATAGGCATCCAATATGTTAGTACGTTCCTTAAGACCCACACACACATCCATACATACACAGAGACCCTTTTTTTTCGAATTTTAGATTCAGAATCCTTTGAAATGTCGAGAAAGCATAAAATTAGCTAGTCGAGTTTTTTGAGAAAAAAAAACTTTTTCGCGAAGTTAAATATATATAATAAAATAAGAGTCAGTAATAACTTTTTGAATAATCTTTCTTTGAAAACACAGAGTAAATTAACCATCCGTTGCAAATTTGCATTCTGTATATTCTCTTCTTTTACTTATGTTAAACCCTCCAAGATTATATATATATATATATATATATATATGTTAAAGTAGTTAATTTTGATGTTGAGAAATATGAGTAAGTTCTTCAAGGGCATACATCAAATAAAAGGCAAAGATTTAGAAGTTAATCTTTAATTTTTCCAAACGTTTCGACATAGTATTTTATGTCATCATCAGTGGATATAAATATGGTCTTACATCAGTAGCTAGCGCTAGGAACACAATTTTGCACTATCATATATACATTAACTTGTTTTTTTATATATTAATTTGTTGAACAGAGTATGGCAAAATATTTGTGAAATATATAATAATAAGCTCCCACTACAGCCTCGGGCTCTGTCACATAAACTACGTTCTCTGTGCAAAATATATTATATATTTCACAAATATTTTGCCATACTCTGTTCAACAAATTAATATATAAAAAAACAAGTTAATGTATATATGATAGTGCAAAATTGTGTTCCTAGCGCTAGCTACTGATGTAAGACCATATTTATATCCACTGATGATGACATAAAATACTATGTCGAAACGTTTGGAAAAATTAAAGATTAACTTCTAAATCTTTGCCTTTTATTTGATGTATGCCCTTGAAGAACTTACTCATATATATATATATATATATATATATATATATATATATATATAACTGTAAAAATGCTTTATGATAAATGTATATTTATCAAATTCATTGTATAAAATTTATTGAAACATATTTCAAATTAGTAGAGCTATAACAAGTACCCCTCTATTATGGAACAAAGTTATGACTGACTATGATGTATTTTGGTTTAAAACCCAGATCTTATTTTAAAAAATCTGAAGTCTGCCATCATTTAAATTTCTAAACAAAAACAATCCATTTGTATTCACATCTTTTTGACTACATAGTATGATTATCTCATATGCAATAAAACTTCAAAATAAAATTTAATACAGTAAGCATGTGAAAAGTCACATCTTTCACATGATGAACTAGTTTAAAAAAATAATTTTAGGCTGTATTGTTTTACAGTTTTATATGACTACATGAATTTTATGAGTTAATTTAAAAAACGTAGCCCTTTAAAAAGATGTGAACATCAATAGTTTTTGGTATACATACATATATATACATACTCCATGTATGTATATATATATATATATATATATATATCTGTATATCTGATCACTTAATAGAGGTACTGGTACATAAGGTAACTCATTGCAGTCGCTCAAACAAATTACATGATATGTGAGCTATATTTCATCATAACATTGAAATTAATTAATTATTCAGTTTGAAAATTCATTACAAAACTAAACTACCAGAAATATTATTTGATTTAGGGGTATCTTTTTGGCACAGAAGGCAGTTTTGTTGCAAACATGTATCAAATGCATATTGATTGAATAATTTTCAAACAATCATTCAATGTGTGCAATAGGTGGCTTCAAGGTAAATGAGAACGGAAGACAATTATGAGTTGACATATTGCTAACTATAACATATATAATTTAATTACTAACTCCAAATTGTTATAACTTAATGTAGCAGATACACTAGCAATATGGAGAAAATATTTAATGTGGAGTGATTAATGCTTTTTAAATAACTCTATTATGTATGAATATGTGAAAGTAATTATTTATCATTTTGGATACTTCATTAAAACATTTATTACTACCATACATCATGATAATAATATTATAGTTACAGTCTTGAAAATACGCCTTTGGCACATTGACAATTTTGGCAATATGTTCTGAGGTTTAATCACACAATTGTGATGAAAATGATTACCGAATATTAAATATTTTCTTGAAGATGTTGCTAGTTCCTACTTCAACATATCATATTAGTTTTTCAATAAATTATAACAAAAAAAAACATTATTCTCAGACATTGAAGGCATTAACCACATCAGAATTAAAGTATCGTCCTTAAAAGTTAAGTTCTATATTAACAAAATATTCATATAGTTCTTCAAAAAAGATTTCATCTTGTTTTTACACTAAGCTGGACAAGTTTCCAATTAACGGAACTATTTATAGTAACATTTACATATTTTGCACATACTAAGAGTCATCATCATCGTATTTCACAATTACAAAGTCTCAAACTAAATGTCCCTCAGTTTCTGGATAATTCATCATCCCTGGCTGGGAAAAGGTAGTTAGACCAGGACTGACACCACCTTCGTAAGACGCACCTTGCACAGATAAAATCTGGTGATTAGGACCACTTCCTGGTGGGTTGTTGTGCAGCTTTCTAGCCGGGTCCTTCAATATCGAATGAGGTTGCTTCACCGTAGAATTTGGCTGTTGTGATATGGGTGGAGTAGAACTTCTACCTTGATAATTTGGTGTATATTGAGAATTATTGCCCATTAACGGATTCACTGGACTATTGTTGTGCAATGGTTGGCCACATTGGTTGTGTAGAACAGTTACATCCGGTGGCACACCTAAAAAAACATTTTTTTAACACAAATGAAAACTTAATAAAAATTATATCTGATAATTCTATCTCTCAATCACTAGTTCCGACATAAGTTCATTAATTTTAATAAAAACTAGTGGTGTATGGCATCATGCCTTAAGACTAATTGCTGGAACTTCCCATACTGTAACAAAATGTTCGAGAAATATTAAATGTTTTCAAATAAGATTATTATAAATATTTTAATATTGTCTAATATTTATAAGAATTATATAAACTATATAAGTGAGCTTTAGAACTTTAACCAAAATTAAAATTGAAATCTGAATTGATATATACAAAAAAAAAAAAATTTTTTTTGAAAAAAAAAATTAAATGAATTTTTTTTCCAAAAGCAATAGTTTCGTCAACACAAGCAAAAAGTTTTTTGAATCATTTAAATCGGATGCTTATTTCTCTCAAAAACTGCCGTTTTTTGTACATTTAGCTCATTATGGCTGGACCTGTCTTTGCCAAAAATTAATCAACACTTCTCCTAATCATTACAAATTGAATGTTTTTTAGATCATTCAAATCGGATGCTCAATTCTCTCAAAAACTCGATTTCTATTTTCTGCACTCTTTGCTCTTTATCTCCGTAACGGCTGGACCTTCCTTTGCCAACAACTAATCAGCACATCTTCATATCATTAGGAATCGAATATTTTTTAAACCATTCAAATCAGTTGATTCGTGTGCCTGAAAACATGAACGAAAAAATGTGGACATACAAAACACACACACACACATGCATTTTTTCTGAGGTTCACAAACCTTCAAAACGTGGAGAAATGCAAAAATTGTCATTTTCGATTTTCGGCCCATTACTATAACTATTTTACGAGAAGTTAATAATTGCAAATAACACCCCCAAAATAAACTTTTATATGCGCTATACACTTTCAAACTGATTACTGCAACAAAACTGTGACAATGACGCTTTACATGTGACTAGAGTGCGATTATAGGATTTTTCATGTTATACTGTCGCGGAAACGTTATAAAAAAACTATCCAATTTTTGAATAAGGCCACGGTGTTTCCGCCAGTCATTGTAGTAATTCAATTCAGTTTATTTCGAGTAATAGTTTCCTGAAAATGATTGAAGGTGTTATTAAATTCTAATATTACCTGTTATGTGAGATAGTTTCTGGCGCCGCAGGGTTCCCGAATTCCCTGCATTTTGATTCGAATTGAGGCTTAGCAAATAATCTAGGGGAGGCGTATAATCCAATGGGGGATATGAGAAATATCTTTCACTGGTCATATTATAATAGGAGCCATCCACGGGAGGTGCGGGAGACGGCGCCATTATGTACCCACCGTGAGAAATGTTGCGATCAACATTCTTTCCAATGGATGTATCGTCTCGGCTTCTCCCTGAAAATGAAATACATTCATAAACTAACCTTTAACATTTTTCACATTCGCAAATATAATACTCGCGAATGCGATTACTAATTTTTATGCTATTTCCTGACGTACGTTTCAAGTCATTTGGCACAAAAGTTAGAAAAAGTATGCATATGTTTAAAACTCGATAAGGGCGATCGCGACGATCAGAAGAGTCGTATCTTTATAATTAGCAGATAAGTGCAACACTATTCATCAATGTTTTTACCAAAAGTACTGAACCAATTTTGAGAAATCAAAAGCTGTTCGAAGTCAATTGAAGAACACGCTGAATAGTTTTTGGTAAAAAACGGCAGGGTCATGGATTTTATGATCGAATAAATCAAAACATTATAGGCCTACAAATAGTAGTTTAATTATAAAAATTCATTAAAGTTCGAATAATGGTCCACGCATTTAGGATATACAAAGAGTTTTAAGCGCATGTACAATAACACTCGTGTAACAATTACACTCCTTTTGTTTATACATTTGCTGCAAATCTACAAAAGTGATTCTTCTCATTCATTTTATCTGATTATAGAATATTAATGTATGTGATAACTTTAATAAATACAGTTACAAATATTATAAGTTAGTTTAAAAGCTATCTTTTGGAAATTGCATTGATTAGTTTTTAATGAAAAACGAATAAGTATATATAGTACTCATATATTAGGTTGTCAAATATCTCCCTTCCGCTTTGTTTGCTCTTGGTTTATAATACAAAAAGGCGGAAGGGAGATATTTGACAACCTAATATATGTGTAATAATTATACATCCTAAATATCAAAGAGTAGGTTTATTATAGGCGTACCATTAAACCCTTAGTTGAACCAGACAATAACACACAAAAACAAAATGATGGATAACTTCTGTGAATGCGAATGTTTGCGACTATATTATTAATACATATTCACTAATAAAAATGCGAATTTACATAGAAGATGTGTTTATAAATTACTGTTTATCTCACCAATGTCATTTATAGCATTATGTTGAGATCTAGGATGCGGTAAAGTTCTTGTATTATGGTGTCCTAAGCCTACAGGCTGCATGATAATATTTTCCGTTCTCTGGTACCTTGGAGGCGGAACATCTGCCATGTTTATTCCGTCCGAAATGTAAGATGATGATTTCTTACGATTCTCATCCTATAAGTTAAAATATTTTATCTAAAAATTTACTAAAAGTCAAAATATGCACTAGTAAAAACTATATAGAGACAATCTTTAGAAAAAGTAGATTTTCATTTGTATTAGACAACGGGTTTAAGAATGCAATAGATATAAAAAATAAATATTAAAATAAAAGTCTGTGCACTAGAAATAATATATTAATCACAAATTATTTATATATAATTAAATAAATACCGTATAATCCTGTTGGCTATCTTCGTTGCTATAGGAGTCACTTTTCTCTGATACAGAACTTAAAGTCTCTCCAGTAACGGTATCATTATAAGAACTCGGAGCATACATCTCGATAGTCGCAGATTTGCTGCTTTGATTACTTGCTTCTAAATTCAAAAAATATTTTTTCATTCTAAGCTTCCAATTCAAATTACAGTAGTAAAAAAATATGATTTGAAATGAATATTAGTATTGAATTGAATAATATAAAAGTATGTTTATACTTATGTATTAGTATTGGTACAATATTAGTGTCAAATTAAATAATATAAATTAAAAATATAATAAATTAAAATAAGAAATAATATAAAACCTTTTGCTCTTTTTCTTAGGAAGTAGCAAGCGACGAGAGTTGCATTTATTAGAATCAATCCCAATATTGCTAAAGCCACAGATATAATAAGAAGTTGGGATAAATTTCTCTTTTCAGAGTCGTCTTCGTCGTTAACGAGTATGCCTTTTATAAAAAAAAAAATAAATAAATAATTATGAGTAAAAAATAATAATTAAAGTATATCTAAATAAAATGAACTAAAACAAATACATTTTATAAAGTAAACAAAAATTGTATCGTTAATAATAACAATAATAGTACAATTGGCTTATATCATTGCATGCTGGCCTAAATTACAGGACTGCAGGTGGTCATCTCTTGTCTATGGTACCGGCCTTAAGCTAAAAATTAAACCCAGATAGTACCAATATCCAATCTCTCAGAACATATTCAATCATCTGCTGTTAAAAAGTGCCAAAGCACAATTTTAAATATATTATATAAAATACTCTTACTTAGTCTAACTGAATTTTTATATATAAAGCCCAAACTAAGTATAGATGTATGAACAATAAAACTATATTATGATCTTCTCGATTAAATACAATATTTCTTCAAAATTCCCGTCAAAATTACCTGTAATATGTCTCTTGCTTCGTCTATGGAGACAACATCCAACAAGTACGATGTTAAGGAGGATGAGTACAGTACCAGCTGCCACACCGACAAGTATTAAAATGCCGGATGTAGCACTTGTACTACCCTGGGTTGGGAAAGGACTAGATGGGGGAGTTTCTGTTATCAATATTATAATCAACAACAGTATTTAATATGAAAGAAAAGATTTAAGGATTATCCAAGGCAAGCATGAGGAAAGAAAATAGATTATTAATTGAATGTTTGACATTTTCATTATTATGAATTAAAAAGAAAAAATAATATCTAGTATTAAATCAAGTTCAACATATTAAGTTAATGCGTTCAATAAACTACCTATTTATTTTATATATTATACAAAGGTATCGTCTGTATAAAGTTTCATAATAAAATTAACAGGTTTTAAAATTTAACTACATATACTAAGTAAATAAATTTTACATTACCTGCTGTTTTAGATTTAACCAAGTCAGGTAAATATTTGCTATGTCCGAGTTTGTTATAAGCCATCACACTGAAAAGATATTGAGTTGCCAAACTCAATCCTGTGACGGTATGTATTAATGGTTCACCTGGTTTTCCTTGAGGAACATCTTCGTATCTATAATTATCAGTCGAAACTTCCCTGCAATATCAAATTATTAATAATATATACTAATATATTAGTGCTTGCAAAATTTACTAACCTGTATCTGATTCTGTATGTGGGTGTCATGCCACCATCAAATCCTGGTACCCAACTTAGTTGTACAGAGTCATGTGTCACATTCAGGACTGTCAGTTGCATTGGTTGATCTGAAAAATTCAGAACAATATAATTTAATACTCTAAATAAATTCATAATTTAAAATATTAATGTATGATATTATAATTACCAGGTGCTGAAGTAACATCCAGTCTGATGATCGAGGAACTAAATCCAAGCTCATTTCTGGCCAAACATTCATACGGACCATAATCAGCTGGTCCTACACGATCCACAAACAATGTTGATTCATAAATAAGTTGATCAATCTGGAAAACATTGATTTAGTTGTAATTATTCATAATTTCTTAATATAATATATTACTGTGCAATTATGCAGGACATTTAACCAAAAATAGTGGTTTACATAAAATTCAAAAGAATCATTATTAAAATAAACAGTAACTCTATTATTTAAAATTTATAATTGTTAATTAATTGATAATTAAACAATTGATAATTCAGCAATAAATCCACAATGTGGTAACACAAAAGGATTTGTAACACTGAGTGGTGGTACCCTATTGGCAACACAGTTTTCGACCCCCTTTTAATAGAAATATTACCCCTTTTTAATCTGAATAAAATATTAAAAATAATTCGGTAATATAAATTAGTTTACCATATTTTGCGAAAAACTACATTATCTCATAATCAATAAATATTGTAAAATATTAATAATCACCTGTTTAAATTCTACAACATATTTGCTAGTAGAATTTATAGAAAGAGGTTGTCCATCTCGAGCCCAGGTGAAATGAGGTCGCGGAGCTGCAGTAGCTCTGCAGGGAATGCTACCACGACCACCAGCAGCAGCTGCTGCTCGCGACAGTGACAATGCTGTTGACATCTCTGGTTTGACTAGAAATAACGAGATTAAATACAGATTTTAGCATTCAGATTATTAAAAGCATATATATTTTATATTTCCAATGCCAAGTATAAAATAAAAATAGTGTTCACATACACTTCACAATTAAAAGGACTTCTTTGCTAGTAGGACTTGCAATATTGTTGCTGGCAAAACAATTAAAGTTGCCGACGTCTTCTCGAACCGCATTTTTAATGTGTAGATAGCTAGTACCATTTGCATAAGTTGTCGATAACTTTTCTGGGCCAAATGTGTAACCAGCACGTAACCAGCGAATGTGGTCTTCATTTAATGGATTACCTACATTATAGTTTTTATAAGTAAATAGAAAATCTGCATAATAAATATCAATTTAATAAAAATAATACCTTGTACAGTACATGACAAAGTGACATCTTGACCAGGATCAACAATTACATTTTCAGAAACTGATTTGATAGTTGCTCCATCTACAAAATCATTTATTAAATATACATACTTTACGAATAAAACAAAATTATGACTTGATTATATAATAATATTACGTACATTCCACATCTAGAGTTACATTTAAAGAAGCACTTCCTTGAGAATTAAGTGCTTCACAAGTGTAAACTCCGGCATCTAGCCTTGATAACCTTGTCATATTCAAAACTGATCCATCGGAAATAATTCGTTCGTTTCCTAAAATTCAATAATAAATAAAATATTAATTTTCGTTGAAATAGATATTGTCGATCTTGTATGTGGTGAGAACTTGATTTTTTACCTATTGAAAGCCTCTATCTCATAAGGGCCTATATACCCACTAAGCCAAAATACGTAATATTTATGTAATTTTTACGCAAAAAAATGACATACTTATGTCATTTTTACGTAAGATTAATGTAAGATATGTGTCATAATTTCGCCTATTTTAAGTAATGTGGATTACGTAATATGGATTACGAAAATATTTCATAATAATTACGTAATTTTTGAAAAAAAAATGAATAAATATATATGAATACATTATTCTAGCTTTCTCTTTAATTTAAACTCACCTGAACTCTGTGATGCTTGGGTGATTGGTAAACCATCCTTCATCCATGTATAGGCCATGTTTTGGGGATTACCGGAGGCAGAAAAGGATATAATCATATTTTCACCTTCAACTCCGACAATTTGAGAAGTATGTGGAGCAAAAACTGGAGGATCTGGAAAAAAGATTTAAATCACAAATATTTTGAGTCCCTGCAGATATTAAAATCAGTTAGATCTATCTAGATTCAACTAGTTTGCCTAAGGATCTGTTAGATCACTGTTGATCCTATTAGATCGCTATGAAACCAATAAGACATCTTTACTTAATTATTACTCACATAGAACATGTAACGTTGTAACATCGTTAACACTTCTTTGTAAAGCCTCATTGGCTGCTTGGCAAGTATACACCTGTCCATCCATATCCTGAGTCACATTCATCTTTAATTCTATAGAAGAAACGGTTCCTCCATGAAGACCGGGTCTAGAGAAATTAGATTCACCTTGAACGGGAATTCCATCCTTCCACCAGCTCAGGCGTGCAGGAGGGTTGCTAGAGCTGCTGTCACAGATTAGTTTGCCTTCAACACCAACTGTCCATTCTTTGGGTTCTGCACGTACTTTTACAACTTCTGGTGGAACTAGAGAGTTTTGATTGATTATAAAAATATTGAAAAATAATTTAAATTAAATAATAATTAACAGTTTTAACAAATTCTAAACAATTTGTGGCATAGCAAAAATTTTGATAAAATGATGAAATATATTAGGAATAAAAATATTGAAACATATGAACTCATATAGAGTATAAATGTCAAATTTACAGTGCACACTGAAGGTGATGGTCTCGAATAACGGAATCTCGGTAGCAGAGTTAGTTGCCTCACATCGGTAACGAGCCAAATTATCGGTAACATTTACCAAGATAGTCAATTCAGCAGTCACACTTTTATCTGTTATTCTCACTAAGGAATTAATCTGAAATTGGAATAATAAAAATGTTTATTTGTTCTATTAAAATGCGATTAATCATGGTACTTAAAAATATGAACAATATATCAATTGAACTGTATATTTTACCTTTTTGTCGTTTTTAAACCATGTCAAAGATGCCATTGGATTACCACCTGATGAAACGCACATTAGTTTTTGAATAGATCCAGCTGGTATCACTGATCCTTCCACGTATCCGCTTATAAATGGTGTCGATGGGGGATCTGTAATAAATTATAACAAATTATAAAAAAATATACTAAACAATGTTTTATTGCATATTCTGATGCTTGAGCTTATACTATACAATAAATAGTTAAAGAACCTGGACCTTGTAAAAAAAATGCAAAAGGTATAAAAGAAGAAATATACTCAAAAATGCCACATTTCAGTAAAGAGAAAAATTTTGGTGCAGATCTTTTTGCTGTCTTCAGTATTTCTTGCTATCATTAAGCAATGACTTAGGCTTTATGAATCAATTTTTCAAATTACCTATGTTAATGTCATACTCACAAAGTACATTGATAGTGTGAGTCCCAACAACATTTTCTGTCAACTGCATGTTGAGCCCATGACAAAGCACAACCAATGATTTCCTATGCGGTTCTACTATGGCAGTGATGTTCGAAGTAGAAAGCCATCCGCCTTCAGGTGAGACAACGGTCCTGCTGGTCGCATTTCGTACCTGGCGCCCGCCTACGGTCCATTTTATTTCAGCCGGAGGGTTTGAAGGCGCCGTAGTACACTGGAGTGGCACAGGGTCGCCCACTCGGGCCTCGGTGGGGCCGCTTATGGATACGTGAGACGGAGCAACTTAAAAAGAAAATCAACAATTACCCTTTTCTTCGAAAAAAAGATTTATAATTTCAGCATTACATTTGATTAATTAATTGCTAAATAACGATTATAAATAAATTCTATTAAATTATTCTTACAGAGAACGAATAACTCGATTTCGACAGATAGGGCTTTCTTCGACATGCTGTTGCTAGCATCACAGCGATAACGTGCTTTATTGTCTGCTGCTTCAGCCATAAATGTGTAAATATTCTCCGATAATCTACCAGCAGTCCTAGGGAAAAAACAATCCAATATTTATTAGGTAGCTCTGTAGTTTAATTTTATTTGATTCAATTCAATTAAATGATATATTTATTGAATATTGAATCTATAAAAAATAAAAAATAATTTAGTTGTTCATATACCTGTAAGCCTTTCTGATTTGTTCGCCATTTTTGTACCATATGAGCTGAGATGGGGGATTTCCGCCTCTGCTCCTGCATATCAGTTCAACATTTTGCCCTCGTCTGATGGTCTCACCAGGAGTGTAACCTTCTATGTATGGAGGACCAGGAGGATCTGAAAAAATATTAACAGTACAATAATTTCCACCCGAAACAAATAAAATGTTGTAAAAATGTCAAACTATGGACAACTACAAAATAAATATATAAGCTACAATGTTGAAATAAAAATCATTAGTTAATTTAACTATGTATTATTTTTCAATACTATATGTGTGTCATCATTCAGCAATATATATATATATATATATATATATATATATGTATATATATATGTATATATATATATATATATATACATACATACATACATATATTGCCAACTGCAAGGAGATTGCTTATTGAATACTGATTCAATCCTGGCTTCCTTGGCAATGAAAACATATGCATATATACTTAAATGTATATTTCGCACTTTTGTCATATTCCAATAATCGGTACTCCTAGCGCTTTAATACTCTGAATTGCTGCTTCAAACATATGCCCAATATGCTGATAACAACAACTGCCAGCATCAATAAACCATCAGCATTCCATTTAAGCTGTACTCTTGCTAATTATAAACTTTCTTTCATCAATAGAATAGTTATTGACACCACGATTTACAATAATATTCCAGTTCCGCTCATGCTACATATTGGTACCAAAGTACCAACCCTATATCATAAAACAATATACAAATGTGGAATTATATACAATACATAGAGAGCGCGTCATTTGTAGAAATCCGCTTAGTATGGCGCCGGATATATTGACCGACCGCTTATATTGTCGTAATCGTACTATGAAGTTTGGTTTTCATATAAAATTCCTTAAAAAACAGTCGGATATATTGACTTTGCTTACACATATGTCGCATATAATAATGACCTTTTTTTTAAAAAAAAAATTGTCTATTTATGATGACCGACATAATTTTACATGCTGTGGCCGAGTCTACAAAGCAAATGCTATGTCTTTTTTGCGCAACAACATTAGGGACTGTTTATTTTTACAATAAAATGAAGTAAAGAAATCAAACAAAAATTACGATTGCTTACATTAAAAGATACATTTGTATGTGAATGGGCAGAGTAGAGCGGAGCCTAAACGTCCGCGGGCAAAAAGATCCACTACATATCTCAAAAACAAATAAAATTAGAATTTTTTAATAACAATATTTGATAGTAGAAGGCGCTCACCTTATTCTTACGACTTCGCTATCAGGAAATACGCGACAACGTTTGAAAATCCATAACAAACGTATTTTCTTTCGTTGTTAGTTTTTTGGTTGTGAGCACGGTTGTTTAGTTTAAGGACCTTAATATAACTTATGTATACGATATTTAATTATTTTAAAAAATGTATTGTTAATTTTAAGTTAGATTCAACATATTTTTATATGTGTTATATGCAGTGTAAATAATGCTACGATATATATATATATATATATATATATATACTCGTATATATATATATATATATATTGATGATTTTTTGTTCGACGTTGAAACATATTGAAATGATAAAACAGCCAATGCGTCGAATGTAAACAATTTAATTTATTTTTTATACGTTTCGAGACTAGATGTGTCTCATCATTCAGCTAAAAGAAATTTACAATATAAAGAAAAGGTTTCAAAAAAATGAATTTATTCATTTCAATATATATATATATATATACTCGTATATATATATATATATATATATATATACAGCTACGTATATACAGTGTGAAAAATGCACCCATAACATTTATATTTTGCATTGGTTGAAAAATGTAGCTATTATTTCGTAAAATCCTTTTAAAATTGAATATAAGAAATTGGTTCTTTTTGCCCCCTGGTCATCCCAAATTATACTGTCTATGGGGTAAAAAGGGTGAGAGGAAAAATTTTATAGAAATAGTAAAACAGCATTTTTCTATAATTAAAAATTATTCAGAAATTTTCTTCAACATAGTTAGTTACTTGTTTGATGCGTGTTATGTGTTGTGAAGTAGTTTATTTGGTTTAGACAGTGTAATTACTAAAAGTCAAATTGGACATTTGTGCGCGGCCCTACCTAATATCAATTTTATTTCATGTTAAATTTTAATATGTATTATCATTTTTATTACAATTTAAAATGCATGTATATATTTTTCTATTAAATTACTGAAATGCGTAACATATTTACATAAAATAGCTTTTCTTCAGTACGCTTTGTATGACGACCGTTTAAAATGACGAATTTCGGCGTCCCTTCGATGTATAAAATATAATGTAATGGTATCTCCGTATTAAGTCTTAGTACTATATAGGATAAAATAGATTACCGGCAATAGCTATTGCACTTATAATAACATTTTGAATGATGTAAGTGTGACTACTACTACATATTTGTTTAATTTACTGTTTCATTTTTTTTTCGAATAGTTGTAAAACGGACTTTGTGAAACATGTGAACTAAATGTCGTGTACAAAAACACTCCATTGTTCTCAAATTATTTTCTGACTTCGAGATCTACGGCCACTTGTCGTGAACCATACATAATACTTGTATAACGCAGTAATCTGATATTAAGCTAATTTACGAGGAAAAGCTTATTTTCAATGACATTTACAATTATCTTCATTAGACAACTAATTTTCATTAAAATTTATTTATATTAATGAATCCAAATACGTCTTATCAAGTTTTATGTGTATTGAAAATGAATATTTAATACCCAGATAAAACTAGGAATAGAAAGCATATATTGTAAGTGCATTACTTTGCCTGTACTTACAATTAGTCTTCTTCTTATACATATAAATATGCGTTAACTGTGTGAACATTTATATTAATTACTCTCTTAAAAGTCACAAGTCTCCCATAGTTCAATAAATTTTTATTCTGTCTCATGCAAGTATAACTAAGTTATATTTTCAACCAATTACATACAAACTAACTACTTACGAGCAAACGTATATAAATACATACATATATCACACTCAATTAAATTTTATATGCAAGTGTGTCGTGTGTGAACATGAATGTATATCATTATTATTCAAGAAGCGGCCCAGTAATACAAATGTTCAAAACCCCTGTTCAGCACAGTAAAAGTGTCGCCGGAATCATGGACTTTAGAAACACATTTCCGAATAAAAATGTTCTTTTCAAATACAAATACGTTACACCATTGACAGGCAGAACATTTCAAATCTCCGTTTCAATCATTTTCAAGGAGATGTCGAATCATACCTAGACCCATAAATATATATCTATACATTGGTTTGGAAATAAAATTCGAGTGTCTGTTTGTAATATTGAAATAACCGTTTTTAACTTCCTACAGGGTATGTCATAGTACTATATGATGGTTATTTAATATTAATCAAGTTCAGTCATTCATTATATTCAATCTAAGCATTTACTAAATAAAGAGCTATCTTAGGTTTTTTATCGCAGAAAATACAAATATTATTTTTGGTTTTGTAAATTGAAAGTTTACTCTCGAAAGCAGATTATATTCCCGTGATTTCTAATCTGTGGATGTGCTTTTATAATCATAATAGTTTTCTATGTCTCCTTAATTTTATTTATTATAATCGGTATTTTGCTGATTATACTATTTGTTGCAAGCCTAATTTCAACATATTCTAAACAAAAGGATTTCAATTCGTTTTCGAACACATCCACTGGTTTCTTCATATTTCTCCGCATTTTCTCTAAACAGTTTGAGTTTATGAATTTTTAATTATTTTGGACATGATATAAAAAGATGAAATATTTTATCATGATTTTAATGTAATAGCAAAAGTTTGTCATCAATTTCAATAACATTAAAAACATTTAAGCCCACTAAATGTGCAGGACATTCTGACACCATCCTTGCTTTTAAAACTTCGTTTTGTTTAAATCCAAAATGAAACTATTTCACATAAAAAGAAGTTTGCAAACTATAATTATTTTATTATTGGTTTTCCAATTTCCATTGCAATATTCTACTACTATCGACGCAGCATCTGAAGCGCTATAATCTAAAGCCACCGATCTTTCAAATGCTTATACATTTAAAAATTTGTTAAGAATTAGAAAAGTATTGACATGAAATTTAAAATTAGACGCAAATAGTGCAGTAGAAAAATGATTTATCAATCATGAATCTTTTAAAGCTCGTCACAGAAAGGTAATGCGCTATTTTGACAAGCGTTGCGAATTCATATTCAAGATACTAAAAGTTTGTTCAAAATGAATATGTTTTTTGATACTAAAAGTTTGTTCAAAACATAAATTTTTATAAAGATCAAACGTTACTACTCAATCAATAAAATTAATTACAGTTAAAAAAGAAATTGTTAATGGGGAAGGTTATGGAATAATTAAAATCAAGAAAATGGTGTTTTTTAATTTTTATTAAAAAAATACGTTTTATTTTAATTTCCATTTATTCTAACGTTGAAAATATTCACCAATATTTCACGTTTGATTATCAAGAAAAATTAAGTTTTATGTATTTTTTGTTATTTTAATACAATCACAACTAAATTAAGAAATAATTATACCTCTAAATCAATACTTTACTTTCCTACTTTTTATATAATTTCATAATTTAAAGCCATAAAATATAAATTAGTCGAAGTTGGCTTGTAATTTGTGATAAAATTCATTAAAAATTGTTTTAGCCAGTAGTAAACAGCGTGTAAATGACTACTTAACGTTTATTAAACAAAATTAGATAAATTAAAAATTGAGTACCACGTTAGGGCTCCATCGAAAGATTTTGACACGGGCCCCGGAGGGTCTAGTTACGCCACTGCATTTGACATACCTCAGAAAAAATTGATGTGTGTGTATGAAAACATCCGATTCTTTATGATGGGAAGACGTGTTGATAAGATTTTGGTCGCCTGATCGCATAGCAAATACATAGCATTTTGACAGTTTTTAGTACCATTTTACTTGAAAAGCGCAGTGTAATATAGCCTTGCCATAACATTGGTCTATTTTACGACAGAATTGCCCCGTCAATCTCGTATATTATATGTTATGATTGAGTAAAAATAGATTTTCATTAACAAGTCATAAATATCTGGTAATTTAATTTTATCACAGGTAAAATTTGTTTTAATCAATTATGTTCGACGATTGATTTCAATTAAAAAATACCCTCTATTCTGACTTGTTAATGAAGAAATGTCCGTTTATTTAATTCTAAGTGTGCGGGTGCATACCCACAATGTCAAGATACACATGTGTGAGACTTCCCCGTTATTTGGGGTTGAAGCTAGTAGTCTGTGTCAGCCGAACAACAAAGTAAAACAGAACAACAATAATGTTTCGGTCGGACCCTTCCAGTGCGGCAATGACATCTTAAGCCCAGAAGATATTAAACTTCTAACATAAAATTATGGGATCTTATGTGTACCTAAAAGTTGCTAATTCAACAACCCTCACTAACTCACTTACTCAATCACTCGCGATCCCGCTCTCACACGCTTAACCAAAACACAAGAACCCTGGGAGGGGGGCGAAGTTTCGAAAAGGGGTATCGAAAACCCCTTGCCTGGGCAAGTTCTTTTGAAAGATATAAACAATTACTATAACAATTTATATTTTTAAGACATTTAAAATACGTCTCTACATATATCTAGCATTTGTTTGACATAATTATTTCTCTATATGTATTTTCTAAGGTGATCATATTTTTAACTTCCCGTAGGGTAGTTTAATAAAAATTTTTGCATTTCCCCACGTTTTGAAGGTTTCTGAACATTTTGGCATACCTAAGAAAAAATGAATGTGTGTGGCATTTTTTCGTTCACGTTTTCGGGCGCACGATTCAACAGATTTGAATGGTTAAAAAACATTCGATTCCTATTGATAGGGAGATGTGCTGATTGGTTTTTCGCAGAGGCAGGTCCAGCCGTTACGGAGATAAAGAGCAAAGAGTGCAGAAATTGTTTTTGAGAAAACGGATCATCCGATTTGAATCACCTAAAAAAAATTCAATTTGTAATAATTGGGAGAAGTCGTGATTAGGTTTTGGCAAAAGAAGGTCCAGCCATTTAGAAGATACACGGCTAAATCTACAAAATATGGCAGTTTTTGAGAGAATAAGCATCCAATTTAAATGATTCAAAAAACTTTCTGCTTGTGTCGACAAAATAATTGCTTTTGGAAAAAATATTCATTTAAATTTTTTTTGAATATCGAAAATAATTGAAATTTCAATTTTAATTCTGGTTAAAGTTGTAAAGCTCTTATATACTTCATGTAAATAATTTTAACTTTATAATTCAGTTTATATAATTCTTATAAATAAATATTAGACAATGATACGGTATTTATAATAATCTATTTGAAAACATTTAATATTCCTCGAACATTTCGTTACGGTACGGGAAGTTCCAGCAATTTGCTTTAAAGCACGATACCACATACCACTAGTTTATATCAAAATCGGGTCGGCAAGTTGTAGTTAAACTAATCGCTTAAATTATATTTTAAATTATACGATGTATGTATGTATCTTATATTATTATATTAAAGCTTTTGAGCTCTGTATAAAATTCTGTTCAATTTTCTTTATAAAGATTTATTTTTCTTACAATTAGTTTAAGTTAGCACTTGCGCAGACAGTCAAAAGTTTTCATTATCATAAATTTTGCTAATTTTTGTAAAATTGAAACCGAAAGTTCAAAATTATTAATGTGAAAGGCTATTTTAACCCATTTTTGGAATTTTGTATTCGGCAATTTTCTTATTCAAATGCATTATTTTATATAAACATACTCGTCGTATAAATATTGTTTTAAGATATTGAAGGGTAGTTGCAATTTTATTATCAAGTAATTGCAAAAATTAAATTTAAACCTATACGTTTCGAAAACCCGGAACAACTCGAGACAATCATAAATCCGGAAAACATATTGCTTTTAAAAAAAAAACGGGACACAAGATAGAAACTGTCCGGGACAAACCGGGACGTATGGTTACTTTAATTTTAACAGAATGTCAAAATTTATGAGAAATTCTAGAGTGATTGTGTATTAAAATGATAAGAAATAAAAGAAATTATTAAAGAAAAATATTTTATCCGTTTTTAACTACCCGTAGGGCAAGTTTTCCGCAAAAAAATCGAAAATGAAAATTTTTATATATCTTTACGTTTCAAAGGTTTTTGAGCATTTTGGCATACCTTAGAAAAAATGGATATGTGTGTGTGCGGATACAAATTTTCGTCGACGATTTCGTGAACACGGTTCACCCAATTTCAATTATTTAAAAAAACATTCGATTCCTATTAATAAGGAGACGTGTTGATTAGTTTTACAGGTCCAGTCGTTTCAAAGCAGGTCTACGGGGCAAAAAGTGTCAAAAACAGTAACTAAGTTTTCAAGAGAACGGAGCGTCCGATTTTAATAATTGACAAGGTGAAGAACTGATTAAATTTTTTGGGATGGCAGGTCTAGCGGTTTCGGAGATCTAGTAAAAAAAGTAAAAAAATGCCACTTTGAGGTCAAAAATGATCATTAGACATATGCACATCAATTTATCAGATATTTTATGGAGATTTTAACAATGTGTATAAATTTTGTTTACATTTCTATGGGTTTCGTAACATCGTTTGTCCGTTAGACGACGACACGGCGCTTACGCGCTATGATATTGTGTCTCTATGCAGCTAAAGCAGTGCGTTGCTTTAAAAAGAAGTTCAAAATTTCCAAAATATTTCGAACAAAAAAAAACATTTTTTTCCAAAAAAGTCAATTTTTTAAAAAAAATTTAAAACTTCTCAAAAATCTAATTTTTTCAAAGTTTAAAACATATTTAATCTTTTTTAAAAAATGTAATTTTTGCTACGGGAAGTTTCAGCAGTTTGCCTTAAGGCACGATGCCATACACTAGTTATAAACAAATTTAAAAAATTGAAATGGGAATCTTGAGGTATATCGTGATTGGATGTTTTGTTATTACTGATTTTTGTAAGACTATGGCAAAAGTATCTTAAAAGTACTCTAACGTAGAGGTGGGTCGTTGACGGTTTTGCCGTCAACGAAACGAAACGGTTATCGGGGTTTCGTCAACTAGTTAAATAACTAGTTATTTTTCAACTATAGTTATTTTTAACGATTCAACGCTGGCAACGTTAAGAAACTGATAGTTGAAATAACTGTTTCATTGAAAGTTGGTAATATGAAGTTTGTTCTTATAAAAGTCAAGTTGACGTTGGATTTGATGAATAAAAAGAAATAAATGTGAATTGTCACATTTATTACACACACACACACACACATATATATATATATATATATATATATATATAATAAATAAAGGTTTAATTTAAAAAACTTAAATATTTTCATTACAGCAAAGCCATATACTAAAACATCGAATTTACATGTTATATAAAAATAGCAATATAATAATGTATAGTTATATAAAATGTTATGAAAAATAAAAAATCAATTTTCAGGTTTAGTTTAAAAAAATTATTACAAGACAAATGCTATGAGATTTTTATGAAAAATATTAACCATTGAAAACTATAATAAATGTAACTGATTTTCTAAAATTAAACGATTTGGCGCGTGTTGCAAGTTTCTTTTAAGATGTACATGTACATTTGCAATATTATAACAGCAGTAGCCTTAACAATAAGCGATTTTCATAGTATTAGTTGATCCTTTCCGACGCAGGTACCTGCCTACGTTCGTTTTCGACAACAAACGAATTCCTATATCGTTGAAAAAACTAACTGGCCGCCATGTTTTCAACTGTTTCGAAACTAGTTGATTTTCAACTAGTTATTTCGTTGCGACGAAACGGTTAGTTAGTTAACGAAGAAGAAACGGTTGAAAATAACCGTTCGTTGATTCAACGCCCAACACTACTCTAACGATAAAAATATTAGATTAAAATCTTAATTGTCATTCATATATTTATACTTAGGTATTTATACTCTTAATATATTTACTGATTATTTATATATCCGTTAGTCAGCGCTGCCTTTGGTAATAACCTTGCAAACTTTCTCATGACTAGTAATTAGTCATTTTTAGTAATTAATAATTATTATCAATAAAATACTTACATAGCACAGATAGTTTAACTGAAGCCCTCATCGGTAAATCAGGTTGTAATGCACTGTGTCTTGCTTGGCAAGAATACTCCGTGTAATCATCATCAGGTCCTGGACGAAGCGAAAACGTAGAAGTCACAGTAAATCTTTTACCAGCCTGTTCCGTAACTGTGTCTTTGCGAGATTCTGAAAGAATAAATAATAATAATAATGAAGAAACAAATGTTACTTACTGTAAAAGTTATGATCGAATATATTTAGATTATGTAAATGTTATGTTAAGTAAATGATGACTAAAACGTTTCTACTGTAACAACAAATACTAAAGTTGATAAGTTACGTTTCTAAGTTTTAAAAAAAATCTGAGCAAGGTATTTTCTAGTAACTAGAATCTAGTTAATACACGTAGGTAATTTTTCCAATTCTGATTCAAAGTTTAGGATGTCAAGTTATTAAAAAAAATCTAATATGATATATTTAACAAATACTAAAGTTATTAAATAATTAACGCAGGGCAAAAAAATCGAAAATGAAATTTTTTATATATTTTTAAGTTTCAAAAAAGCCTTGTGAACATTTTGGCATACCACCGAAAAAATGGATGTCTGTGTATGTGTGTGTATGTATGTGCAGATACAAGTTTTCATCGACGATTTTTAGAACACAGATCCGATTTCAATACTTCAAAAAATATTTTATTTTTATTGACAAAATGAAGAATTGATTAAATTTTCGGGAAACATAGGTCTAGCGGTTTCGGAGATCCAATGAAAAAAGTAACAAAAAATGCCATTTGGCAGTCAGAAACGATGATTAGACATATGCACATCAAATTATTATATATTTTATAGAGATTTTAATAATAAGTACATTTTTTTTACATTTCTATGGATTCTGTACAAATGTTTATTTGTTAGACTGCGACACGGTACTTCTGCTTACGCGCTTCGATATATCGACTCTAAAACAGCTACATAGCGCGATTGCTTTGAATTTTCAAAAAAAAAAAATCAAAATATATATATAAAAATTAATTGTTTTTTACAAAAATATCAAAATTCTCATATGTCTAATTTTCTCAAACAAATTTAAACATTGTTAAAAACTTTAATTTTCCGTTCGGAATGTTCCAGCAATTTGCCTTAATGATTCACGGTTTAAAAAAAAAAATTTTGTCTTATTAAATTCTATACATCTCTAGAATATTGTCCTAAATTTTCAAGTTGATCCGACTAATAGTTTCGGAAATACAACCTTGAAAAGACGGACGCTCGAGGTCAGGTATAGGCTCTCTTAAAACTTTAAACGCGTTTTTCTCAAAACTATGTTTTCCAAGACGGTTGTCAAGATTTATCGCAAACTACTAAAGCGATCTGGATGAAATTTTACACAAGTCTTCGAGATATCATTTACAAGATCTTGAATGAAGGATTTAAACAACAACTATTTAAAAAGATTCGAGAAATTTTCATCGAAATTTGCATTTTTTTATAAAAACGTCTGCCAAAAATCCAATTTTCATTTTTTTTGTTTCCTCCGTCGAATACCATGTTTTATTTTTATTTCGAATGATCCTGAAAGAAGTTCTGTTGACAACGCGGAAGCACCTTTTTCCCGAGGGACTGCCGGAAATGGCCGCAATTTTGATATATTTTTTTTTCATTTTACAAAATGTATATTAAATATGTATCTTTTAAATAAAAAAAATTAAAACAGTTCATTTTTCATATGTAGAGAAAATTATTGAAAAAAGGCTGTTTTTTAACCCCTTAAGGCACGATGCCATGCACCACTAATTTCTGGATTAATTGAATCTGCAATATAACTCGAAACTAATAGACATCCTAAAATGTTCCGCCTACGAGAAGTAAACGACTCATTACTCGGTGACAATCATTTAACAACGAGATACGTAGCGAAAAAAATCTTTATCGCGCACTCACCTGGTTGAAGTTCAACATTTCCGCGGTACCAGACGATCTCGGCTGCCGGTTTCGCGTTCGCGACCACGCATTGCAGCGATAGCTCCTGGTTTTCTCGAACCTCAACCTTGGCGTGCGGTGCGTGCCCCACAATTTCAATCGAGGTAGGAGGTGCTGAAATAGATAAGAACAAATGGTAAATAAAAATAATAAAGGATATTATTAACATTATTAGATAGAAATGTTTAGAATTATTCATTTAATTATTTAAATTGTAGAATGCAGATTAACGTCATACACGAAAAGAGAAAATACGCAGGAATTCAAGGATTAGAAGTTGAATATGGAAACATTGAGAATAACTTTAGATGCATTCTTAGAAGGTAGGAGAAAAAATAACTCTTTTATTACGAATTTACTAATATTTCCTGGATGTGTCAAGTAACTATAATAAATATCTATCAAACAAACAGATTCACCACCAATATCTCAAAAATAAGTAATGTTAAGAATTTTTTAACAACAATATTTGAAAAGGGAGAAAAAAGATTTATAATCAGCCACCGCCATTAGCATCAAGCGACGTCGCTATCAGGAGATAAACAATGCTTAAAAATCTATAACAAAAGTATTTTCTTTTGTTGTTAATTTTTTGTTGGTTCACTGTGTTTAGTTTACGAAACCTTAATATAATATGTTATGTGTTATGATGTAGTAGTTTACTTAGTTTAGAGACAGTATAATTACTTAAAGTCAAATTGGACCTTTGTGCCTCGCAACCCTATGCAACAAACCACCCATCAATAATTTAGTTGCAAGATTAGGATAAATTATAATAAGCGCGTATTGTATTAGATTAGAAACACGCTTCCTGTCACTTTTTATGTTAATCGAGTGACTGGGTTTTATAACTAATTGCTGACAAACGTCGATACCAAATAAAGTTTTTTATTATGTATATATTAAGATAGGTAACAAAACTTAACAGAACGATATTGCTTTACTACTTATTGATTGTAAGATTTGTTTAGATTTAGTAATTAGAATGATCTAATCAAGATAAAGTTGCAAGACGACAAGACAATCCAATTGACTTCAATAGTTCCCGCTCTCTTATAACTTTATGTAATATAAGTGTGTAGTAAGATAACAATGCAAGTTTATCTGAGAGCAGATTCATAAATATCGATTCGGTTTCGTATAAAAATATCAAAGAAGCATTAAAAATATTCATTGATGATTACTCAAAGAATTGTAACTAGTCGCAAAATTTGTTTTGCATATTTGCGCCGTGATATTATCAGTGTTTGAAAAATCATACACATCATCAGGTCCCTATCTATAAGAGAGTATTCTCGTTTTCTAGCAGGAATTTTGTAGATAACATAAAAGGCGAGGTAGCAAAACTGCATTTAAAAAAACAGCATAGTATCATTCAGGTCATTCCTTTTAGCCCTAAAGTAACCGACACGATAAGTTATCTCTTCTATAAATCTTCTTCCTTTAATAAGATTTCGTAAAGTGGACTATAAATTCTGCTTTGGAGATCAAAGAGAAATTTTTAAATTGTTCGCAGCTATCGATAACCAAAAACGATACATTTTTTCTAGAAATATATCTATTATTATCTGACAGATTTTTGTTAGGATATAACTTAACTGTGCAATTTATATTCAACTGAAACAAGCGGACAAAATTTGTAATTATTATTATAGATGAAAACAATACAAATATGAAACTAGTGGGGTGGGTGGCATCGTGCCTTAAGGCAAATTGCTGGAACTTCCCGTACCGTAACGAAATGTTCGAGGAATAATGAATGTTTTCAAATAGATTATTAAAAATTAATATTGTAACATTGTCTAATATTTATAAGAATTATATAAACTGAATTGCAGAGTTGAAATTATTTGTTTAAAGTATATTAGAACTATAGTCAGAATTAAAAATAAAATCTGAATTATTTTCGATATACAAAAAATTAAAAAAAAAAAAAAAAAAAAAAAAAAAAAAAAAATGGTACAAAATTTTTTTTTCCAAAATCAATTATTTTGTTAAGACAAGCAGAAAGTTCTTTGAATCAATTGAATCGGACGCTTAGTTCTCTCAAAAACTGCCATTTTTTGTACATTTAGCTCTGTATCTCCGAAATGGCTGGGCCTGCCTTTGCGAAAAACTAATAACCCTTTCTCCCAATCATTACTAATGGAATGTTTTTTAGATAATTCAAATCGGATGCTCCGTTCTCTCAAAAACTCGATTTCTATTTTCTGCACTCTTTGCTCCTTATCTCCGTAACTGCTGGACCTGTCTTTGCCAAAAACTAATCAGCTCTTCTCCTTATTAATAGGAATCGAATGTTTTTTAAACCATTCAAATCGGTTGATCCGTACGCCCGAAAACGTGGACGAAAATTTGTATCCATACATACATACACACACACACACACACACACACACACACACACACACACACATCCATTTTTTCTGAGGTATGCCAAAACGTTCAGAAACCTTCAAAACGTCGAGAAATGTAAAAATTTTCAATTCCGATTTTCGGCCCATTACAATAACTTACCCTACGGGAAGTTAAAAAACATTTTTTCGGTTTTGAACTATTGTATTTAGTTCATGATACCTGAATATGCTTTTTAGGTATACTTTATTTAATTGTTTTGTGAGATGTATTATTATTTTCAGATTCAACCGTTTTTTATATAACCTCTATAAAAACTTACATGTGAGTGGTGTAAAAAGAACAAACTAAACCTGTACATTGGCAAAGGTGTTATCAATAAGAAATAGTAAATTAAAAAATAAGTTAAGTTAAAATAACGTAATTGTATTGAGATAAATTGAATTAATAAGTATTCGACATCTTCGGGTAAATATTTCTTTCAAAATACCAGATCAAGGTTATATACAATGAAGTCTATGTGAGAAATGTTTCCATAAAATTTGGATTTTGCATTGATGAACAAATGTAGCTATTATTTCATAAAAGCAAATTGAAAAAAGACATTGGATCTATTTGGCCCTGGCTGACCCTTCTTACCCCGACTAAAGGACAAAAATGGACTAATGATAAATTTTGGAAAAATAGTAGTGCTCCGCCCTACTCTCTCTCTCTCTCTCTATATATATATATATATATATATATATATATATATATATATATACCCTGCGTTAACACGGCACTCTGGGTACACGGTTCCCATATTACGCGGAACTAAAAATCCGACATTCCTCCGACTACACGGACGACTTCCTATTACACGGCTTTTGTTCAACAGCCCATAAGTTCCTTGCGCAACCTATGAGTGATTCTAGGAACTTGATATCAAAAGGGTATTATTGTAAGTTTTGTTATCGACTTTTATCTTTTAGACATACCTGAATATATAATAGCTGACTACTGCATCGCGACAATTTTTGAATAACGTGTCTATGTCATTACAAAGTCATTTTGTTCGTATTACTCCTACTTCAAGTTGTATTCCTTGGTCTTCATACAGCACGATAAATATTGTGCAATTTGTACTAACTCTGAGTCTCTCATAGCGCGGTTCCCATACTGCACTATATAAGTTTCCATAGAACGCACTACGAATTAGCCTAAATTGTATGTTAAATATGAGTATTTTATAGCACGGTCCCCATACTGCACGGTACGGACTTGCCGCGTTAACCGAAGGTTGACTGTACATATTTATATTATACAGTATATTATATATATACCTATCTGACCCGGCGACAAGTGTTGTTTTGCCATCTAAATTATTTTTAGTGAAAGGGTATCTCACATAAACAGAATGGTTCACTCACACTAGAGCATTTGTTCTAGTTTGTGTAAAAAACGTGGTGGGTCCAAATCTAAGGTATGGTTTGATCTTTGGACTTATTGATAACCATTGCAAATGTAAATCTAATCTAAAACTGTAAACTGCAAGTAAATTGGTATTTTGAAGGAATAATGGAGTTTCTGGGCAATAATATGTCTATATTCATAACCAAATTTGACGCCCTGTATATATCCACACACACACACACAGATATATATATATATATTTATATACATGATACAGAGTAATAAATATTTGTGTGTATTATTCACAAAAATGTATAAACATTATTATTTTATGTAAGAATGTCTAATTAAATTTAATTTATTTTATACGATATTGATATTTTCAACAAAACAAATAAGATTTTTAATTCGATTTGTATGTCGATTCATTCGAGAAAGAGCTTTAAGCCACGTGAGCTTTTCAAACGGGTTTATTTGCGTTAAAGTGTCGCTAAAAGCAAGTCTTAAGTATCCGTTAGTGAGTAAGTTCTAAGTACATCACATATTATAATCCAAACAATGTAACGCAATCTCCTTCAGCGTTAAAATAAATATAAATAACGGAGCATTGCGAGATGCATTTTGCCATCCCGCTGGGAAAAATTTATGTCTTGGGTATGAAGCTTTGTAAATATGTGGAATCCTGCAAAGTGCAATTATTGGTTTATGGTTCGTACCATTTTCAATTTACTGGAAATTTTACTTTTTCTCTTCGTATTAAAAATAAATGTTAAAACTCAATTGTGGAAGGAGTTTGGAAGATCATTGTAAATTGGTTAATTATCTTCAGGCTGAAAAAGCGAAGGTTGAATATAAGTTGCCAGTTTTACAAAGCCGATCCTTTTTATACCTCATTGGCTATGTGGACGTTAGGGATATTAATCTCTAGTTTAAGATTTCAAAACTTTATAACTTGCCAATAGGTTGATCTTACAAATGCATCTTTGCTCTTCAAATAAACAACGGAATATACAATAAATACAAATTGCAAGTTCTAAACAGTATAATATATCGTATATAGTGTTACCCTGAAAGGCAAAGTTAAAAGTTCATAAATATTTCAGGACCTTACAAACCACAGTTTTACAAATAAATTTTAATAATTTCATTAATATAATGACATTTTGCTTACGTCTATATTTAAATATACTCGTAAATACATACACACCCTTATAATTCTACTAATGTGACTAATTTTTGCGTTAAGATAAATAATTAGAAAACAATTAATTATATTACATTACATAGATAAAATATATGAGTAAGACAATATTTCGTATATTTCAAAGATTAGCATCATCGTCTTTAATCTCTTTGATAAAAATGAT